AAAAAAAAGAAAAAAAAGGGGCAATAATTGTTACAGAGGTTACATTTTTGGAACAACTCACTTCACATGTCAGGCAGTTCTATTTCAACCTTTTAGTCAACCAAGCACGTCAACACTTATACAGCACCAGCCTTAGGAGAAATGACAGTGACAAATTAGAAACTTTTCAACAATGACCAACTCCCAAATACGTCATTCATCTATTGAAACAACTAAACTTTTATTCAGTTACTTCCTTTGTTAACTGAGCCTATATGTATAAATATCTTCATTCAGCAGCTTCGACACTATACCACTACAGGCTAAATGAACATAAACTGAATACATTAACATAGGACGTCCCTCACAGGGAATTGCTATCACTTATTCATAATGCTCCGCCAGCTCAAATGGGGTCACATGCCACTTCGTGTTACCAGAGCAGAACTGTTACACTACGCAACTTGTGAACTTGTCCTCCATGATAGGAACTGAGTCTACAGATAAAATGCAAACTTTTCAAAGATGAAAGTCTGACAATATCTGCTGCTGATTCATACATCTGAAGTGGTAAGTAAGTACAATTTATTATTTTTGTCTATTGATTCGGAAGTGGATTTCTTGTTGCAGAAGACAGAAGTTTTGCTGGTAAGATCCAAGCATTTTCTAAGCTGGGCAAAGCTGTATTTTGGTCTGGTATCACAGTTGTATTAAAATATGCTTTAGGACAGGCTTAATATCAGATTCATCACCCAAATGTGCACACAGTCTAAAGGCATTACTTGATATACTTTGAACACTACTGAAATAATATAAGAGTCCCCACATTCTGTTGAACTCAAGCCAAGTGGGTTATAATTAACAAACTGAAAGCCATATGACGTTATATGAGTCTTTTTTCCCCTTAAGCCATAACTAGCTGACACACGTGACATCATGCATTATAACACAAATGGACTTAACACCATAATGTCAGTGTGTCACCGGGGTTTTACTTTTCTACTGCAGCAACCAAGGCTTGATGAAAGCCAGAGATATATTTTAAAACAAAAACAAGTGATGTTTATAGTTTTAGAAAAACTACAGCCAAAATGCTGTCTGGTTTGGGGCATAGGAGGCTTACAGAGTCCAAAACTAATGTTAACCAACCATAAGACTGGTTTATAACTAAATTAAATTTAAATTTAAAGTGTAGTCCAGGTGACCAATTGAATTCACCAGGTATAAAAACATCTGTTTTTTTCTCATGGTTACAAAATCCACAGTGACCCAAATATTTCAATCTCTGGTAGATTTAACTGCAACTATGTTAACAAATCAATAGATTCTAAAAAAATTACAGCAGTTTGTAGCACTTATTTTCTTCTCTTATATTACAGTTATTAGTTATTTATATCAAAAAGCTGCAAAATACAGTTTCAATTTATATATAAGGAAATCATCAAGCACATATTCCATAAATGTCATATTTTTTTTCAAATATAAAAACATGCTTGAAAGCAAACTTAAGCACTACGTATGCTTTACATACTTGTACCTATGCATATATATTCTTTCTGTTTTATAGCCAAAAGAAACAAGAAATATCATGGCTACCGCAGTCCCTGAGTGTGCAGAAGACTTCCTTTACTGCCAGATATGCACAGAGCCATTTAGAAGACCCAAGGCCCTCCCTTGCCTACACACTTTCTGTCAGGGTTGTCTGGAATCTTATGCCACGACTCAACATGCTCAAGAGACGGGCCACTTTCCATGTCCCGTCTGTAGAAAACCAGCAGTCATAGGTAATGTAAAATAATTTTTTGATATACACTGTGTACTAGTATTTATTTTTATCTTTATTTGTGTGTGTTTTATTTTTGATAAATGTTCTGGTTTAGCATATACACTTTAATGACTATCTTGTTGCATTCAACTTGTTTGGCAAGAGGGAAAAATATTTCTTCTTACAAAAAATTAACAGTTCTGGAAAACCCTTAGGCTAAATGTTGAAAGGTGCTTTAATTTTGTAAATTCCATCCATAATTTATTCTACTCTCTGACCAAAGGGTGTGCTAGCAGTCAGCTACAAAATTATTGTATCGGCCATACTTAAATTGTGTGTACTATTTTAGAAGCCCCTGATATCAGAGAGTAAATTTATTCCGTGTTGTCACTTATGACTGTAAATAAAAAGCTTCATGCACCATCAAAGACATGGTACATCATGCTATACCTATAATATTTGGTTTTCTTAATCTCTGATAAAATATTCCACTTTCCCAATTAAATACAGTGAGCAATGACACAATAAAGACACTGTGAAAATGTTTATTCTTTAATATATATTAATGGGAAAAATCTGAACTTCCTTGATGGCCTCTGACCCTGTTTATCCTCTCTCTGACAGTATATGTTACTGTCTACACACCAGCCACACAGATCTAATTACTTAAAGCCATCAATATTTCTCTTTTCATTTTGAACTGACATCACCATCATAACTCAGTGTCAAAAACATCCTGAATCACTAGTAAGAAATGAGACTGAAATTTATTTCTCAATCAAAGTATCCAATGTCAGAACCATGCCACCACAGTCATAAATTCCAAATAGTTTTTCTTTTTTCAACATTTCTGTGACTCTTATACCTTTCCCTATCAATATAAATTGATGCTTTGAATAATCTGACAAGAGACAGATAAGTGCAAGCTGTATTTTTTTCAGGTGTAGCTGGAGTCCAAAGCCTGCCTGACAACTTCATAATGAATAAAGTAGCAGATATCCTTAGAAAGCTCTTCTTTACCACATGTGACATCTGCAAAGCAGCTAATAAGACGACCCCGGGAAAAGCAAAGTCTCGCTGTTTTCAGTGTGATAAAAAAATGTGTGAGGACTGCAGTAATACCCATATCCAAGTGCCTATTACTTCTAGCCACTCTCTAGAGCCTCTGTATGGAGTCAATGAAAATAAGTGTACAATTCATGAGAATGAGACCCTGAAATACTACTGCGTCAGCCATAGTGTTTGCATATGCGTGCCATGTACCATGATTGAGCACAGGTCTTGTGAGATTAATGAAATACAAACAATCAAAAATGCAGAAATATCAGTGATCCAAGACCTGTTAAACAAATGTGAAAAAAAGATTTCTGAGTTAGAGGTCATTGAGGATAAATCTTCGCTCAATATCAGCAGTCTACGCCAACAGATCAACGACGTGGAGATGAAGATGGCGAACCTAAGGCAAGACATGGAGGGTCTCGATAACCAACTGAAAGAGGAACAAGCCCAAAAATGCCAAGCCATGTTTGCCATTCAGCACCTTAGCCAACTCAAGTCTTACTCAACCTCCATCTTGTCTCAAGAAGATCCAGTAAAATTACTGGCAGTGGCCAAACAAGTGCAACAACAGCTCACAGACTGCCTGCAACACAGCACACTCTCTGATCAAACCACACCCAAGATGGGTACCGTGAGCACACGTTCTATATCCTCCAATGACCTATACCTTTCTGCCACCAGGGACTCCACATGTATTACTGCTTTAAAATATGGAGACACTCTGACTGAATTAATCAGAAGATTTACCACTTCAAAACTTGCCAACGAATCACAATTTCTAGGAGTAGCAATGACTTCATCAGGGGTGATTGCTCTGTCAGACGCTGCTAATGAAATTGTGAAGATGTTTGACCAGTATGGGAACATCTTGGGCACTCATGACATCAAGGCAGAGGTGCTGACATCTACTGAGAACAGCTTTATTTGCATCAATTATGACTGCAACGTTGGTAAAGAGAGTCAATTTGTTGTTCTCAATACACATGGCAGAGTGATGAAAGAGACAAATATTGCAATGACCTTCGAACCATCTGGCATAACAACGAGTCAAAACAGAGATATATTTGTTGCTTTTGACAACAACACAATGGTGCAGTACAATATGGAAGGGAAGGAACAACAGCAAATCATACTCAAAGTTTCTAGAACAGCAAGGAAAGGTTTTCAAAGCTGTGTGCCATCACTTCTGGTAGATGACAATCTTATCTATGCCTGTGACACCCAACAGAATTGTGTCAATGTATACAATATGGAAGGGTCATTGAATAGGTCCATTGGTAGCTATGGTAATGGTGTCAGTGAGCTCTCATTTCCAGAGAGCATGTGTTTCCATGGCAACAAGCTCCTGGTCTGTGACCATGACAACAACAGGATATCAATGTTCCACAAAGAAGGACAGTTTCTTGGGCAACTTTTACAAGAGGCTGATGGGATACAAAAGCCAAAGAATGTGTGTCTGTTCCCAGATGACAGGCTACTAGTAGTGCAAAGAAAAAGAGACGCAATTGAATTCCTTATTTTTCAAGTGAACTGGGACTCCTATCAAGACTAAATACCAAAAGGAATAAATATTCGCTGCCATTTAGGTAGTATAAGTGCCAAAATCAACTGGAAACTGGTGCTGGACATCAGTCCTGTAAATTATCATCATTTCATCATTGTATGAAGTCTAAGGTACCAATTCTCCTCATTTTATAAAAAGTCCACTCAATAAACCATCGTTTTCATTAAAGAGTCATACTCACCATATTCCTCTGGGTCATTATCCCATATTTGTAAGTCATCTGATGTCAGCAAGAAATAATGGGAAACCAGTCGCCTCAGCATCTCCGATAATGTGCCAGTGTTGAAGAATGCCATTTTGATTTTGTATGCTACTAAAGTGGAAGGTTTAGTGTCTGTAAGAAAAAAAAAAAGCTCAATATGCTACAAGTAAACTCATGCAGAACAGTTTGTGGTATTCTAGTCTTACATCAACCCGTTTTATATATCAAAATTTGGAAGATAATCTGCATATACTAAATATTTATAAGCTTCATAGTTAAATATATAATGTACACACATTGTTCAAACTAATAAATTGTTGTTGTTTTTTTTTTAAGTGTGAATGTGCAGAAATGTCATACAAAAACTTACCTTCTATGTGCCTGGCTGGCTTGAAGTTTTCACACATCAGGATTTTTTTGATTATATTGAAACAGTTGACTGTAAACCGTTCAAACAATAAACCTGAAGTAAATTCATATAAGTATTTTTAATTGGCAACACCTATGCATCCAACATTAGAAAAATAAGAGATAATTGTCATTTTATTTTTATATCTCCACAGAAACCTCACCTTTTATAAATTGAAACAATGACTAACTTAAAAATTTTATTGCAAATATTTTTCAATGTACAAAAAATATCTCTTACCTGCTCCAGTGTCAGTGAAATTGTATGCTACAACTAGCTCCAAACTTGGCTGAATAAACTGGATATATGAATCGGGATGATTTTCAAGCACATCCAGAAGCTATATTTGAAATATAAGATTGATTTAAATTAAAACCATGAAAATCTGATATGAAAAATGAATGTTATGGGTTGACATATTGCAAGATATCATCAAGAAATCTTAATGTACAATAATCCAATTTAAGTTCAGTTATACCAAACTATCAAACTTACCACTTTGGACATCAATGTCAGTGATTTATCTCTCAATTCAAAAAGTCTAGCTTCATGTGGAAGTCTTCTTTCTAAAAAAATGAATAAGCTGATATGTTACATTCATTATAAATATTTTACTAAACAACAATGGCTTTCAATATATTTGATGCAGTGAAATATTCTTTACTGTACCAATCTACTCAAATGGCAAATAGTAAATCTAACATAGAAATATTGCCTGAAAAAACTGAATGTGCTCCAGTTACTAGTGATAAGCTTGAATAAACAGACCAAAACTACAATCAAATCTTAACAGATCAGATCACACTCACTTAGGATTTGAAATCTCGAAAAATTCAATATTTCACAATAACAACTAGTCAAACAATATGGCGAAACAATTGGCATTTTAACCTTCAAGCATTAAATTTTGCACAGGCGTGGATATTGAAATTCTGAGCAGTTACACATAAAGGGTAATTCATAATCTGGAATCCAAAAGACATAAATCCAGTTAAAAATGTGCTCCTAAAAAGTGTTAATTCAATTACTCACTACATTCTAACATCTTGTGCATCCTATTAAAAACCAGTCTCATAAAGTTCATTGCATCCTCACTCTCCTGGGGGTCTTTAAAACCAAACACCACCAATTTTCTCAACACTGGATGAAAAAAAAAGTATTTTAAGATCATTGTTAAAACAAGGACAAACAAATCTGTTGTATTCTATTGATAATGATCACAAGTTTAAACTTTTTGCTTTCTACACAATATTGAAGGTATACACTTCACAAAGCTTTTGGATCACGCTGTGAAATATATAGCTTCAATATTGTGTAGAAAGTGAAAAGGCATCAACTTATGAACAAAGACAAGCAATGCACAAGCAGCACAGTATTTGATTCGAATTTTCATATAAACATTTCACATTCATATCATGTTGATCTGAAGAGGAAGTTGTTCTTGGTTTGGGACTTAAAATTACATAGCTTAATTTTACTTAATCGCATCAATTTTCTTCAGATGCATGGCAAAGAACTACTGTAGCAGAAAATACATTTACCTTTAAGGGTCAAAAGACTGTTGTCTAGGGATTTAAACAGGAGTCCACTCTTCTGTTCTTCGAATGCTTGAAAAAACTGTTCTGAATGACAGTTCCACATTTCTAGAACATAGCTGAATATATTCTTTGTGAGCTGGAAATAAAGATTTTGTAATATTTCATAAATTTCACAGAATGGTTCTTTAATAAAAAAAAAAACTTTCTGGAATAAGTTTACGATCAGTTCATATTGACTTTTTCATCACAAATTTGTTATTTTACAGTTTTCTTTTACTATAATTAAAACAATCATGTTTATCTTGATTACTTATATGTACTTTTCAAGTTTTGCACAAAAATATATACCTCTTCAAACACTCTTCTATCAGCCGCTAGTCTCTTGGAAGCCAGTGTCTTAGACACATGATACAGTGTTAGCAGTGCCCTCTGTTGGACTGTTTCATCAGGTTGTTTCACAGCCTCAAACAGAGTAGGAATTAACTCAGGCCATTGTCTAGGACAGTCTAGCCTGGCAACTTTGCCAATCAAAACAGCCAACTGTGTTGCTATCTTGAATAATAAAAAAATAAATAAATAAACAGAAGCAAATTGTGTTTCATGTCAAGTACCTGGCTTATATATACATATAGCCCAATGGCAAGTGCAAAAGATTTTACTGAAAAGAATTTCTATCCATTTCTGTTGGCCAATATCCTTTGGTAACATAGAGAGCATTCCATCGAGAAGAGCCGAGGTCTAGCAAGGCCGAGACCTAAATATGGCGGACCTACATGAAAGGAATGCCGTGTTATCCTTAAATGGTCTCTCAATGACATTCATTGACATTCATTGAGAGACTATTAAAGGATAACGCACTTTCCTTTCATGTAGGTCTGCCATATTTAGGTCTCGGCCTTGTTAGACCTCGGCTCTTCTCGATGTGAATGCTCTCATAAACAGTACTGAATCAACTGATTTCAAAGCAAGATTTTTGCTAACCTGTGGCACTGGTTCATTAAAGTGAGTTATCAGTCTCTGTCTAAGGCTTCCCTTTTCTTCTTCTGGAATGGCACTACAAAAGTAACATATATAACATATAGTACATCCAACCTTCATTTCATCAACATAAGTTCATCACATGAATATCACACATATATAATAAAAACCTAGTACATCAGTGTGCCCTATGTAGAGCTATATAAGTTTTTGAAATTTGGTAAAACTACAAAAGAATGCATATTCAAATTTTGTTTTTACAGTGACATTCTGGCTTTTCATAATGTAGAATACCTACTTGGGTGCATTTCTCCTCCAATATCTATCTATTCCATTCTTGAAGTATAAAACAGCAAGCCATCTCACATTTACACCAATGGAGTGATCACTGAAAATGGTCTGATAAAAAAAGAAAAATTCATAAACATTTATTTTTTTTTAATCAAGTAGGTAAAAAAGATTTCACTGGTCTATTGTTACATGTAAGGTGGGGTAGCGCTAGCAATTTTTTTTGCTTAGCCAAATCACCACATTTTTGTCTATTTGTTACCAAAATGGTTATAATTTGGCGGTCTGCCTAAATTAGGCAATACACTGCAATACAGTGCACCACAGCACAATACACTTGAAAAAACAAGTCCAGTCACAAGTAAACACAGAAAACGGTCATTCTCAACATAATAAGGTGATATAAAAGCAAAATATTTGACTAGATTATTGATGTCATTGATATAACTAACACATCGGCGCTACTTCTAATATCGTCGGGTCGGCAGCCATGTTGCCTTGTGGCTCTTCTTGACAATATTACCGGCCAAGAAGAGCCACTAACCAACATGGCGGCTGATCCAACGATAAACAAAATGTGCAAATTTGTTACATTTTATCAAGGCTAATTATTATTTAGTAATATATTTCACTCTCATAACAGCCTATTTTGTTGAGAATGACCGTTTTCTGTGTTTACTTGTGACTGGACTTGTTTTTTCAAGTGTATTGCGCTGAGTTGCGGTGTATTGCGCAATTTAGAAAGTCCCATAATTTGGCTAAAACATGTCAAATCAAGCCCTTTTTTCTTTAGCCAATTTAAGTCAGTTTTAGCATTTGGCTAAATTGGCGAGTGTTAGCGCTACTCCAGGTAAGTTAAACATTTCTGTCCTTAAAATTTTCATTAAGCATATAGTAATGTTGGAAATCTTCCAGTACATATACATACGAATACACACACGTGTGCCCGCACACACACACACAATTAGAAAAAATATATACTCACCATCAATATGCTATAAAAACCTGGATTCACCTCCCATTCTTTCAGCTGTTGCTCAGCCAACTTGAACACATCACTGGTCTGACTACATGCCCTGGTCAAGGTGTCCAAAACTACTGGACCTGCTGTAGCTGGGTCCATGGTGGCCAGTCTGAAATACGATGGCATTATAATAACATGTCACTGTATAAAATCAATCATGCACAACATTATGATGCTAACATCTGTTAAAGAGCAAACAGCTATGAAAGCATTAAAAAAATTACTGGACCAAAAACTCACATTGACCTTTTCTTTAATTTGAATTAGTTGAACGGTCTTTAAATTGAGTTGAACTTGAAAAATAAAGTTGATCGTTCAAACATGGAACTTGGTTATGAAACAAATCTACAACAACACTCAGCAAGGTCCCAACCAAAGTATCCCATAAATATATCTCACTCAACCTTGCACCTAAAAGATAATCATCGGTGTGCAATGCAAACAGCTATGATGGTTTCTGCATTTTAAAGTTCCGTCCAGGATCGTTTTCTCTTCAATCACGTTGCTTTTCTTGAAACGGAAAGTCTACATCGATGCAAGCATTTTGCCACTACGCATGCGTACTTTGAGCAACTTATTGACACGGTGGAGTTAGAAAATAATGAATCTGTATTTTACAGCATACTGGTTACCTTGAAATAAATTCAAAAGTGCAGATTACTCTTAAATAAGAAGAAATATGTTTGCCGTGACTATTTGAGGTAAGTTTCTTTTAATATTTCATTTCTCAGTTGGTGACGTGGCCGTTAATTCCATTAAGATATTGCTGTTTTGAGTGTTATTACTTTCAAAGTAACTTTGGTAGCTTGTTACCGGTGTAATTAATCCAATGCTTTTTGTTTAACAGCTGCTTCTTAAGGCGGAATTCTGGTTCCCGAAATTGGAACTTAATGTGACATCTCGGTATTCTAACCAGTTAAGATTGGAAAAAAGGATCATGCTTACTAAATTCTCCCCCCCCCCTCCCTCTCTCTCTCTCTCTCGCTCTATCTCTCTCTCTCAAAATGTTGAACAAATCATTTCCACAGCAGTTGAGACTTCATTTGGCTTTGTTTCAGGCATAACTTTAATGACAAAATGGTAGCAAGATATGGCTCTGGTAGTAATGTCTTGGCAACTGGAGCAATTTATAATTCTCCATCAAGGTTAGATATAATTCTTAAAATTAGTAAAATAAAATTAATGAATTAATCATAAATATAGGGCAGATATAGTAAATTTTGTTAGTGAGATGTGAATATGTAGAATTAAAATAATGTTTAAGATTTTTTACACATATATGTAACTATATAGAAAACATTGTGGATTTTGGATGAATACTGTTCAGGGAAATTATATCTCAAGTGACATTTTTAATTTTTCTGGATCTCAATATCTTTTTTTTTCTTAATTTTTCAGATTTACCCCATATATTGGACTACTTATAGTTTTCAAGTTCCTTAGAGCATTTGGATTATTTTTAAGTTATGATTTATTGAAGTTGGTGCACATTGTGCAGTTTTTATTTATTGTTAAATTTGGGTAAGTAAGATTATCCCGTAGAATTCTTTAGGTGTGTGTGTGTGTGGGTGAAGCTGTCTTATAGTTTGATAATGCTGTTTTGAAGTCATCAATTGAGCTATAAGTTAATGTATCTGCAAAGTGTAATGATTGAAAGCTAATAGAATGAATGACTATATATTTCATTGGTATTGGTTTCTAAAAGACCTTGAGCTTAAATAGTTTTTAATTCATTGTAGGGCTGCTATTTTCTTGCTGTTTCTGCAGAAGCCTTTTACATCCGGACCAAGACTTACCAAACGCCAGGTTGGTTAAACTTTTGAGTACTGGTTTTCCTATTTTGGTATCATGATAGATAGATATGATATTATTTACCAAATTGATAAATATACAGATAATATCACATATATTGGAGTGTAAAATGTGTCCTTTGCCACACCTCTTTACTCCTAGTGAAACATAAGGCAATGTATAGATCTCTCCACCTTGGTTGTCACTGGCAACTTCCTCATCTTCCCTCCAGTTTGACCACCCCATCTAATTTCTCTCTCTTTCTACTGTCCTCTCCAGGTTTCTCTTGACCTTCCTCTCTTTCATTTGCCCTCAGGTACCCAAGCATTTGGTCCTAGTCGTTTCCATTCTTTTGAACATGCCCTTGTAAAATGTATTTTGTGTTGAAAAATCCTAGAACATGCCCATGTATTGCCCTTGCGAAAATATATTTTTGTTGAAAAATTCTAGCAGTACATATGTAACATAGAAAATATTTGGTAAAATTTCATGGTGTATTTTTCAGTGGTTTAGAATTCTTCGCCATGCCTTTTTTGGCAGTACAATTCAGCTCTTCTGGATATTTGGGTTAACACTGTGTGGTCCAGTCAGGTGAGATGAAAGTGTAGATCAAATATTGTGCCCATAGGTACCAGTGTATTATGTCACATGCATGTTACTTTTTAAAATCAAATGAATGGATATTATTTTTTTAACTTATGATATTTTGTCTTTCACATTGCCTTTTCATAATCTTAGTTCTGTGATAAATATAAGTAAAGTTAGATGAAAGTGCAAAAATTTTCCTGTTTAAGTATGCAAATAATTGAAAAAAAAAACTAACAATAATTATGATCAAAGGTGCATAGCTAAAAATTTCCTACAGCAAGAATATCTGTCTTTCAATTCAATGGCTGTAAAAATATTATTTGGGATTTACAGTTTATATTTAGCATAACATTTTTCTGTTTTTGGGGTCACATAATTTTCATTATGCAATTACAGATAAGATATACTGCCCAAAATATAATAATACTTATTATTTTTCAGGACAATCCTCCTGTTTGAACACAGTGACTTGGTGGTGATAGCAGCAGCCAGTGCATTGTTCACTGGTCAAGGAGGCAGTCCTGCTAAGATCAGGGGAGGTGTATTTATGCTTCTTGCCATTTTGGGAATATTATTGTTTGATCATGATGATGAAGCTGCCCATCAATCTAATTTTCATCGTATCCTTTATGAAAAAAGAAAGCTTCATTTTCATGTGAAAGAACTTGCAGTTGGAATATTTGGTTCCAGTAGTGTTTGTTCTTTGTCTGAAAAGATTATTTTTTGAAAGGAGAAAAGTAAGCATATATCATGTATATGTAAAGTGATTCAGCCCAATTTGTTTTTTATATTGTTTAGTGAAGTGGGCTTAAAGAAATCAATAAATTATGCATTATTTAGAAATAAATTATCCTTGACTTTTCTCTCAGCCGAGGGACATCATCACCATAGCAGTATAATCACTCACATGTTTTACCATGCAGTCAATTGGTCTGGGTTATCAGACCACAAGGTGATTTGGTTCAATATTAAATCATTGTGTCACACTCTGCTGTATGAAAAAAAGTAATTATTAAATGCATAAATTATTAATTCTGTTAATCTGAAGTTAATTTAAGTTAGTCAAGATTTTTTTAAAAAATTGTTCGGTAATGTTAAACTTATTGCTCTTTGTATGATCATTATGATGGTTCATAAGCTGTGTTACAGTTTTCTTCTTTCCTTATTTTCAGGGTGGTGTGGTTATGTTGACATTAACCATATGCCTTAATGTAGGCTACAATACGGCATCAAAGAAGCTGTCAGTTGATGTAGGGGGAGCTAAGAGACTGCATGCCTTGTCAACATTACTTTCATCATTGTTACTTTTACCATGGGCTTCATTTATTTATTTCACAAGAGAGGTAAGAGATGTGTTGGTTATTTACAAAATGAATATCCTTTACAAAGTAAAAAATAAATTGAAGTAATGATTTCATTTGTTTATTGAATTATTCCCATTAATTAGTAACATATCTTTTAAATTTCTACGGTTTAAAATAGTGACACATAATATGGAACAGGAGTAATGAGCTTAATTTATTGTGGCAGAATGTCTATTTCAGAGCATTAACTGATGCTTAGACTAATAATTTTTTGGAGAGCTTTCAATGATCATTTATAGCCTTGATCACTCCAACATAATGATGTTGGTGACATAATTTTATGACGGGAACTGCTATGCTATAATACCAAAACCATCATGATACTCTTCACTCTTCTTTTCATTTTTGTCAGTATTATTTTATTTCAACTTTTTTTAAACTAGGGATGGTAAAACAATTTGAATATTTTGTGTATTCTATAATTTGTATACAATGTTTGGATATATTTTATTATTATTATTATTATGGCACATTGTTTTCTTTCAGAGTCAGATCACAGTTTCCTGGATATATGTGCTCTTCCCATTTATATTTGTCACCCTCCTGGTGTTCATACTGGACTATTATGTGGAGGCAGTATGTGTCAACCGCCTGGAGATTGCTCGCACTGCCAAGATAGGAGCCATTGCCATATTCACAAGTGCAATTTTCCTGGGTTGTTTCTGGAACCATCCGTTTGTCACCCACATTACCACCATGCAGGCTGTGCAGGAAATAGTGAAAGAAGACCATGTGCTCTCTGGGGGAGTCATATTTAGTTTTGTGTTGTTCATGTTTAGTAAGTAACTTTTATTGATTAAGATATGTCTAAATATATATTTTAACATATATATATTACATTTGTAGAATAGAATAAAATGAATGCCTTTTTTTTCTTTGTGAATATAAGTAAGAACATCACTCAAAATTAAGTGGGATTATACTCTTAATATTTTTTTGTAGTTTTTGCAGTTTTCAGCTGTAAAAAGCCTGTATTGATTTTTTGATACTTAAAATTATTGTCGTCTACCTCTCATGTTATCTTTTGCAGTTCCTCATTATGTATGTGATAAAATTGCGTATTTTCAGGTTCCCATGTTCTTACCAACCCCAATAAGGGGAGTAAAGGCAGTCTAGTAGGTTACTCTGCAGGTGGCCTGCCACTTTATAACATGGCAGAAGAGGCTTTCCAAAGGACCTCCCACTCTGTTGCCTTGGTGCTTAAGAATGGTCTCAAACAAATCCTGGAAGAGTCTGATTCTAGAAGAATATTTTATTTCCTTTGTATGAATTTGGTGAGATTTAAGCTTTAATCTGGACTGTATGGCTTATAAATTATTTTGATTGATTGTGGTTGATAGAATAGTTTCATAACCTACCAGAGAGTGTTAATTAACATTACATGGCACCTTAATTGGCTAAAAATGTATGAATTTTAGTAGTGGATCTTATAGATGAAGAGCAAGCACATTCAAAGTTAATTTCCCTTAGACTCTGAAACTAGCTAATTTTTTATATTTATGGGACCTAAACCAATAATTTACTTAAAATTTGTTTGTTACATGCTTAACTTGAATCGCCCTCTCTTTCAGTTTTTCACTTTTGTTGAACTGGTATATGGTGTATGGACAAACAGCTTAGGTCTTATTTCTGATGGTTTTCACATGCTATTTGACTGCTCAGCTCTAGTCATGGGTCTGTATGCAGCAGTAATGAGCAGGTGGAAGGCTACAAGAGAGTTTTCATACGGGTGAGGCAACTGATTATTAGCAAATTATTGAGTAGTTCTTGAAGTAGTATCAACAGTGTGTGTATCATTTTAATTCATGACAATTCTTTACAGTATAAATGCTCTGCTAAAACAAAGTAAAGGTTATAGACTGATGCACTGAAGTTGCAAATATGAATTTTATCATGATATTTTACTGACTCTCTTTTTATAATAAAATGCAAATAAAAGTGTTATGCCCTATCTTTTATCTAAGGTATGATCGTGTAGAAATCCTGTCAGGATACATCAATGGCCTCTTCCTAGTGGTCATTGCTTTCTTTGTCTTCACTGCAGCACTTGGGAGGCTGTTTGATCCACCTGATATCAATACAGATAGGCTGTTGGTATGCTCAAAGTTTTATAAACTTCCCAGTTCTGACTTGTGGTGTGTAGAAATTGCAGAAGATACAACCATTTCATTGAAAATACACGCTACTGGACTTAACTTGCTGTGCTAGAATATATTTGTGTTTTTACATAAATCCTTTCCTTAAGTTGAAGTATCCCTTAATGGAAATGATCAGTCCTCCATGACCAACAGTTGGTTATCACATTCATACACAGCTGTAATGATTTGCTTTTCTAGGTTGTCTCGGTAGCTGGTCTGGTGGTCAACCTGTTTGGTATAGTGGCATTCAGTCACGGTCACTCCCATGGTGGAGGTGGTGGTTCACATGGTCACTCTCACAGCAAACCCAAACAACACAATCACAGTCACCATGGTCATGGGCATGGTCATCACGGACATGGTCACAGTCACAACAGTCACAACCACAGCCATGGGGAACAAGAGTGTAGCACCAAAAATTCAAATATGCAAGGTGTGTGCCTTTTACATTTGCCATTGTAAATTCTTTCTTCCATTTTTATATTCGAATGCATGAGTTGTTGGCACTCTAATAGTCTTTCGTTAAGCTTTGTAAGAAGTAAATATTTATTCATATGATTTATGGTCAACTCTGTAGAATTAAACCAATAACTAGAAATGAATAATTTAGAGCTAATATTGATGTGAAACATTCTTCAATATTTGAATACATGAATGTTTTGGTAAAGGTCATCTGGACATTAACCATAAATGTATAGAATATATTTTTATTATATATTCATTTTGGTAAGTATTTGATTTAGCTTTTAAACAGAACAATTTTTTATCTAATTTTAGGTGTGTTTCTCCATGTGCTTGCAGACACCATGGGCAGTGTCGGAGTAATCATTTCTACCATCCTTATTGAAAACTTTGGGTGGAATATAGCTGATCCAATCTGCTCCCTTTTCATTGCCTTTATGATATTCCTCAGTGTTGTTCCACTTTTGAAGGACACTGCTTTTGTACTCCTGTTACGCAGTCCTTTAGAGATAGAAGAATCATTACAAGTTGCGCTTCAAAAGGTATGTCATAGCTAAATATGTTTTAACAATAGTATATAAGGTTATTTTAATTCTGGGTTAAAGAGTCATTTTAATAAACATGCATATATTCATAGAGCTGTAAACATGATTGTTTCACAGAATCATTTTGGATTTCAGTTAGTTTTTATTTGGCTTCAGTTTTGGTACAGCCCACATCTTTGAAATTCCAGTCACATGCCTGTTCATAAGAGATGGCTTACTGTATGATTGCTTACCAAATTCACCTGTAGTAATGTAGTAGGCCATGTAGCAAAAGATTCAGGAAAAGTCATTGTGTATGATTAAGGATAAGCACAACGTAATTTGTGTTTTGTTTTAGGTGCTGTCTATAGATGGTGTTTTGTCCCTGAGAAAGCAGCAATTCTGGAGCCATACCTCCTCAGTAATGTGTGGTTCAATACACGTTGTGACATCTCCTGATGCCAGTGAACAGAAGATAGTGTCACAGGTAAGCCTTTCAAAAATATGACAGATTTGGTGATAACTCTATGATATATTTAACGTATTGATTACAGATTTCACTTTTAAGTTAAAAATATTTAAATAAAGTTTTAAAAAAGTAAAAGTAAAATAGCTCTATTCCACTTTAATCAAAATAAAGTAAAAAAAGTATTAAATACTTTTAAAAACTTGTATTGAAGCATTTGCTTGATATAAAACAAGAGTATTTTAATTTAGACTTAATCTACTTAATGCTTTATTTATTTTTTTAGGTCACTGCAATTTTTAAAGAATTAGGAGTTCAAAATCTCACAGTTCAAGTGGAAAAAGAGGCATATTTTCAACACATGTCAGGGCTTAGTTCGAACTTTGATGTTATAGTGGAAATGACGAAAAACATTAAAGCTTTAAACTTTCAGGATCCACATAGTATCAAGGCAGTATAACACTGTATCAGAGGCTTAGAGTTGATGTCACAAATACAAGGACTGGGAAAGTTGGTCAAGTATTTTCACCTGATGTAAGAGCTAGTGACATACAGACTATCACAGACACGCAAGGATTCTTTCTGACATCAACTTTGATCCATGATATTTTCTTTTCTGTGATATTAAAAAAGTAGAAGGGGCCATAGGGAAGACCTGTTTGAACAATATTATTGTAAAGAAAAGGGATAGATTTAATATAGTTGTTTGCTTAAGTTTATTTAATATTTGGATTTTTTTATCATTTAGTCATCATTTGGTCCAGAGCAGATAGTAATTGTAATATAAATATTTTACTAGAGATAGCTGGTGCAATTACAGTATTGAACATTGCCATGTCCTTGATTTTGATTGTAATGTCTATATCAGAAATGCACTTCCAAATGTAAGATTATAATTTTCTGATTTTTTTTTCGTTTCAGAGATCTGTGAAAAAAAGTATTTTCACTATTTAAAAAGTTGTTAAACTAATGCTAATAGCTTTTATGAGCAACACACTTAAGGCATCTATATTCAGTAATTTTAATTCAAATAAATGATATATAACAAACATTCAATTTAATGTCTTAATTAGCACAGTAGCATTCTAAACCAATAAACATTTCAATTAAAAGGTGCCAATTGCTTTCTCAAACTGCGAAGGTTATCAATGTCAAACAGAATTGCAATTAAAATAAAAAATGTAACATCAAACAACTGCTAAAATAGTCTTGGGCAGCTTTTACATGCCTATGCAAGAAATGCAATTTATCGTCCACATTTAACAATCTGTAATTAACGAAAAAAGAATGAAATAGTTGAACTAACACTGAATGATAAGAAATTCACTATTTTTTCACTCAACCAGCTATAAGGGGATGTAATGTGTTTTGCATGCACTTTCAGTTTATTCATTGAAAATGAAACTTGGTTGGAAAGCTGTCAATGCCCAATGAGCTAAAGAACAAAGCAACAAACAAAATTTACCCCTCAATCTCGAGATTTCTTCTTTCGTTTCCGTTGCCCCCTCCGTGGTCTCCATGAGGCATCATAATTGGGTGGAGAAGGGTGAGATGTCAATCTTGAGTAGTAGCCAGGCACTTCAAAGCTAGTTTCAGGCATAGAAGGTGTTGGCTGACCTACCAGTGAGACTGATGTTGTCGAAGCTGCTGGCTTATCTGTGGTAACCACATTAACAAGTGATGTCAGGCGCATGACGCTGTTTGAAGCAATGTCATCCGTGCCTAGTCTTGACATTACTTCTGCAATATTCCCAAGAGCCATGTAGTTATCTCTATGTGCTTCAGGTATGGGCTTTGATTGAGCGAGTAGTTTTTTCCCTTCTTCACCAAGGATACTTTCTTCATGGCCAGATCTTCCAGACGGACGTGTGCACAGATTCAGTGGGCCTTGTTCAACTTTCTCAGGAGCTGGTGGTCTAAATGTTGTCACACGCCTAATGATCCTTGGAATGGTTCTCTCTTTCTTGAATTGTGGACTCTCAGCATTTGGCATTGGAGAATTACCCACTTCCAGCTTCACATGTGGGCTGCTGCCAATGGATGTAGCTGGACTTGAAGGGCTTCTATCTCTTATATGGCATGACTGAGGAGAACCCTGAACTGGTGGCGTTGTGACAGGTTTTTGTGATCTTGGACTTGAGTACACCTGTGCCATCATCTGTTGAAGGTGTGCAGGTTGGATTGTGCTGTTCCCAACATTCACACGGAATTTGTGGGTGTTTCCATCAAGGGTGGTCACCTCTTGATAATATGGAAAACTGTGACTGTATAAACTTGACAATGGGCCATAGTGATATAAAGGATGTGGCATCTTTTGGTCTAAATCCTTCCCGTCTTGCTGTTGCTTTTCATTTTGCACTGATGTTGTGGATCTTGCACTACTACCCAAGTCTTCCACCAATTCTTTTGGCTGTTGAAGTTTGTGGAGTAAAACTTTTCTAGGTTTGGCATCATTCTTGTCTTCACAGCTTTGCTGAAGTTCAGTTTTCTGGCTCTCTCTCGCTGTGGTTGAATCAGTAGTGTTCCTGGATGATTTTGAATCCTCAGTAATGATAACCAACTTAGGAAACCCACTGCCTGCAACGCCATTGTCACCAGAGCCACCTGACCTAGAATAATTAGCGTGAGCAGTGCCACCATCTCTAATATTTCCAGTTTCAGGTGGCCTACTGGCATTGGCACTGGTAGTTCTTTGCTGACTCACAAGATGTTCAGCATCTGTCTGCTGTTCCATGAGGCTACCTGGGGTGACCTTTGTGACCTTGGTGGGCACTCCCTGTGACTTGACATAGGCACTGACAGCTGGTGGGGTATAGTTATAGAAGGAGACAAGTTGAGATGGCTTGCCTGTGGCCTGGGAGCTGACATTCTGGCTCGATGCTGCGGGCCTGTAGGTAACAAAGTATATATCCTTGAGATTAATAATTTATTTTCAAATTAATAACTCTGAACACTTTGTAGTTGAGACAATAAAAGGAGCTCAGGCTCTTAATTACAGCAAAAATGTAGTGCATTAGCAGAATACCTTTTACTGCCAGCTCTGAACTTGACAGTCTGTGAATAGTCTGGAGGGGGATCATCTTTACACCAGGGGAGAAGAGAGATTAGGTAATCTGCTAACTCTGGATGGGGTTCCAAAAGAATCCGGATGTATCTTGACACCTGAAATAAGAAACAATGCCCGTGTAAAGCTTTTTTCAATACGAGAACATAATTATAGGGACATAGCTTAAAAATTGGTTTGTTACAACCTTTTTTCATTTAAAAAACAATTAAGATAAAAAGCATTTCTTTAAAATTTAGTATTTAAAACTAATACTGAATTTTATAAGTAATCCACATTTGAATGCTGATTCACTATAATTATTTTCTTATTGAGTAATGAATGCACAAGATTACACAAATTATCATTTCTGAAGGTCTAATTTTTCCAATGTTTACCTTTTTCCTGTGCTCATGTCCAAGATGAGGGTTATAGTCATAGAGAAGGGCCAGCAGCATTTTGTACAGCTGAGGGGCAGGTTGGGATTCAAATGAAATTTGCAGCAACTCTAATGTTGCTGTCAAAGGAGCTACAGTCTGAGCAGGAACATTGTACTCTGAAATAGGTGAGATGTGTTAGAAAGCAGAGATCAAAAGCTCTTTAGAGTCTCGTAGTACACAAATATACATTTACATAAGCAGCCTTGTCTTGGCTTTTGATAGGATGGCTTATATTTGCCCTTTCTCTCTCTCACCACACACTAACACACTTGCATGTTAGCACTTTTGATTATGTTATTTATAATATGTCCTTTTTGTATTACATGTGCTAATTTTTTCCAGTTATAATATTTTTGTTCATGATTTGGGCAACATTACCATTAAAGATATAGTCTACTCTACGCATTTGAAAATGTCCTAAAGATTTTTTTTATTTTTATGACTCCAGCAAATTTTTCCCAATTCAGGCCTTTGTAAATTTTTTGTTTTTTTTTTAATGCTTAAATCCGTCAAATAAAAGCATCTGGTGTCAATATCTCCTTTTGAAATGTTTTAACATTAAAAAAAAACATTGAGGTCTACATGACTCGGGAGTCATTTGGAACTAAATCATTTCATTAAAAATGGTATTAAGCATCTAATCCAGGGACGGGTCGAGCCATGGTTCGCGAGTTGGAGAAAATGGCTTTGTTCTTGAGGAATTGACACTTGATGCAAAATTTCCAAATAAATTTTATTTAACAAATCTAGCAAATTTATCGAAACTCAATTACACCTTAACTGCACTGCCAGAAGATACTTTCATTCACACACCTAAAAATCATTACATCCAAACGAGTAACGTGATGCCCAAGCCAATACCACGATTTTGATTTTTCGACGGTCGGAAAACGCGTGGTTTCAAAAACATTGCTAGCTTTACCTGACGATTACATTCAATTATTCGATTATACACGATGTCTCTAGTAAAACAAAAATTATATTCTGTTGACCTAAGTGTTAAAAATTTCAAACCTGGCGAAAAAAATCCAGACAGCAGAAAGTCTGTCATGTTACCGCTTTGCGACATCTTTCGTCTGCTCTTCCACTCTCCACGCATTTGCCTCAAGTTGGATGCTTGAAACCATCCCTTTTGTACCAAATGAAAATTAGAAATGAGGTCAGCAACTGTGTCCTTCTCGTTTCCGGTCTTTCTGTAATCGTTTATTCTTTTTTCCCCTAATCATTCCTTACAAAAACAAAATGTTTTCTGTTGTAAAAATCAACATTTGAACTGCGCGATTTATAAACCAATAAGTGAAACATGCACTTTTGAACTTTGCCAATCTTGCAGTGCATCTGGTTGTGATAACCCGGCGCACCTAACGCAATGTTCGTCATCACCATCATCATTCAGCCACTGGGGTAGACGGGGTTATCATGATTTCTTCTCTTTTGGCATCATATTTATGCATCACTGCAACCAGTTTGTTGAACCCAATTTTTCTGTGTCCCTTATAATCAGGGTATCTACAAAGGAATTAGTTTCTTAGATACAACCCTGCCTTCTGCTGAGGGTCACCAGGAGAGAATATCACTCCCCCTGTGAAGTGCTATTAAATGTGTAAAAACAATCAATATTCAAATTTTAATATCATTTTACTTAAATTGTTATTTATGTAATATGACTTGTTTTTAAGCAATATTTTGCATAACATTATATGGCATACCTATGTTTTTCAAAAATGTTAATAATTAAAATAATACAAGAATTTAATTGCTATTACATGTATATTTTATTTTCTTAAATATCAAATAAACAAGACATAATAGACAGGTTGTTTCATCAATGAAAAATGAAACTTCTTCCATATGCACCATTTTCCTTAAAAATGACACATAATCTATGCAAAGATGTTTGCCTGTTCAACATGAAACTTCTCAGAAAGAAATACATCCACTATTTCTTTTACAACTAAACTGGAGCTCATTCCGCCCATACTTTGCTTTATAGCGAATACTTAAAAATATACATTCCCTCTATGGGGCTCTTGACAGAATTAAGTGTAACTGAAGATTTGGACTTTATTCATTGCAAATAATATTGTTGTAGAAACATATTAACTTTCAGGTACGTATCTGACTCTGCTGTTTGTGCTCTCAATGGCTTGGCAAACAATGGCTGAAAAATTAAAAAATGAAAATAAATACAGCCCTCAATTCTATTACCAGTCACACACATTATGCCTCTTTGTAGATTCCTTTGAATGTTGTACAACATACTAATATGCTAAAAATCTTCTTGTATTTGATCAACATGAGGTTGTATTCCCCTTTCTACTAGTGCTTTCTTTTTCTTTTCTTCCTCTTGTTTTTTAACAGTTTGTTCTTCTTGCTGCATTGCAAGTATTTCCTCTATCTTGACTTCCTCCAGGGGAAGCTGACCTTCTTTTTCCATATCCTTAAAGAAAAATGAGTAAAGCAATTGTTAAAGTTGAATAGTTAAAGTTATAGTTGTAATCTAAATTTTGCAAAATGTGATGGTTTTGAATGAACACTCACATACCATACCTGTTCTTCTGCCACCTTTCAACTGATATAAAATAATTTTATGAAAACAAAAACAGAAACCTCATGTGATTTCAAGCTATTTGTATACTTAACAATACATGCTGAATATTTTGCATTATACCTGAAAGCACACATTACATATTTGCATAAATTAAAAAAGTTTTTTTAATACAATGTACTTACTATTTCTCCCAAAAGCACTACATTCTCTCCTCTAACAACAAAAATGCCTCTGGGAATATCCCCATATTTCTTTCCCACATGGATTCTTTCAATTGTCCGGTGCAACACCAGATTGGCTACAATAGCAAGACATTGTATGAAGCACACATCCATTGCAATATATCAGTAAAATGAGTAAGTAACCTCTTTCTATAACACATAAATTATTAGGCAATATTATTATCGAATCTTAAAATGTATAATATTTGATAAGGCAAACTCATCTATACAGGATGAACTCATTAGTAATACCATAATATATATGTGTGTGTGCAGGGGCGTAACCAGACCTTTAAAAATTGTACGCACAGATTTTTAAAATTCCCAGCAAAATGTAGACTAACGCAAGAGATGAAGGACAGCGTAATTACAGCATATGTACCACACATCGCAGCTTAATTTCCATTAATAATAAAATCATCATTTAGTCAGAAATATTCTCGCAATTAAAAAAGTTTCAATATTCTTATTACCCAGAACGGTATATTTATTTAAAAGGAGGCTAGCTTCGCAAATGTGGAACCCCCTTCGAATAATCCTGGATCCACCTCTGAGTTGAACTAACATACGGTTTCATTCACCTTACATGTGGATGCATGGCTCCCAAAAACAACCAATTGTACGACACGACAGAGGTCTGATACATATAAGTTTAATTATTTGTTTGTAAAAATTGCCCATGTCACCCTGTTAGTTTGGAGGGGTAAGCTGGGTCAAGTCCGTGTCAAAATTCTTTGAAGCTTTGCAGGAAAAAATCTTCCTTTGTTTCTTTAGCTCCTTCTTAAACCTGGTGTCCAGATTTTATCTAGTGCTCCCAGGGTTGCGGGAGCTGCTCTTTGAAAATAACACTCAGGCAGATTTTTACCTGAGATAAACATCGCCACCGAGAATGCGTTCGATATTCTCAAGAAAGAGGGTACAGAACAGTTAAGGGCCACTGAACCCTCCAATTAAGAGGTAAAGGAAGTTTCAGTTAGATGGACGATTAAGATAGGACTTGTTAAGGTTACAGGCATTGTTTACCTTAGTTTGCAAGAACAATTGTGCCTATACAATTGATACAGAGGATTTGTACGTACAGGTGACTTTGATAAGCAGAGGATTTTCTTTTATATTCCGTGAAAAATATACTAAATTTATATAAAATAATATCATGGTTGGCCAAAAAATTGTACGCACAGTGCATCCGTGCGTATGCCTAGTTACGCCCATGTGTGTGTGTGTGTGTGTGTGTGTGTGTGTGTGTATGTGTGTGTGTGTGTCATACATAAACTTACCAAACTGATCTATGCTTCTCAAGTATCCTATCAGGGTCCTTCCATCTCTTAATACAACCAAAAGCTTTTCTGAAATCCAAACATGACACATGTCATATACTCAATGAATTAAAACAAATTGCAAGTATTTGCATCAAACTCACTATTACAAACTGGTACGTCTCAGATGTGTGTTCTATTTCTACCAGTACTGATAACTGCCAAATAAAATGAATTCAACTTCTTGCAATTTCTTTTCCAACAGGGGCACCGAATGAATTATTTAAAGCTCAAAAGACAAATGCAAGAGGTGTGAAGACAGCAAAATCGTTACGTAAAACAGAGACAGTGAATTCACTACACTGTCAGCACATTGCACACTCTGCAGTACCAATAGTGGCAAATGGCAATCTAAAGTACACCGTACCAGCACTGGCAGCAGTGGTAATACAGTAAATACATGTACTCAAGTTATTACATTGTCATTGTATTCCTCTTTAATTATGGCTTTTAAGATATCTAACTCATTTGTCGTCAGTTTTGCAGATAAAATATTTAATATACTTACTGTCTATTTCTTCTATAAGGCTCGCAGTCCCCGGTAAATAATTCATTACTTCCGCAGTTTCCCACCTTTCAGTTTACCGAGCCTACCAACAGCTAATACACATGGCCCGATCTGACACATGACATTGACCTTCAAATTAGAACACAAGACAAGCCTAAAGCACAGCAATGTTCATATTAACGGCAGGTTAAGGAAATATGGCAGAACGTGGACTTTTTCGAGAATTCTGAAAAACGAAATACCTCTCTTGAATTTCGTACTTGTTTACACGAATTGGGTGTCATATCAAAAGAAACGTGAGTACAATAATTTCGCACATGGCCATTCTTCAAGGGTGAGTCTCGTTTGACGGAAAATCCATATAAAACGAAATCCTGCGAATGAGGCTACTATGCGGATTTATTAAAACCGACCGGCTGCATGGTTCGTTGATTGTCAAGGTGAACTTTACGTAATTTTAAAATTATTGCAAGAAATGGCTTCGATTGCAAGAACTGCCCGTCGTTTGGTAAGACTAAAGGCAGATTAATATAAAAATCAGTTAAAATGCAGATATAAAGTTACTAATGAAATTTTCACCACAAATGTATATTTTAACGTTAACATGTTGAAGTTGAAACTAATAAATAAATGAGTACGTTTTTAGCTTCAGACTTCTCTGGCTCCAAAACTAGTCCCAAGGGTTGGTGTCATCACAGGATCGCAAAGATATCTGCACGTAACACCAAACAGATGTATGTTGTCGTTTTCCTTTTATAATTATTCAGAGAGCAAAAGTACTTTCATTTTTGCATTATTTGCGTTCACAGATTTTAGAGAGATGTAGCATATTGTCTTGAAGAAGACATTACGTGTTGGATTTAATATAAGTATTATTTGCTTATGATTTATTTGCACGTCGACTTTTGAAGTGATTTAATACTTAAAACACACCAAGACAAATTGCTGTTATAAAATTTTGATACTGAGTAAACAAACATAATTGACTTATTGTCACTCATACACATAAATGATGTAGTACTTATAAGACTTGTTTTCTATTGGGCAAAAGGGTAGGTAATTTTTTTCATCGTGAAATTTAGAAGTACTGTATTATATTTTTTCATCTGTACAAATAGAAAATCACCTTTTCATCATTTTTAAGTTGAAGCCAAAGTTCAGCAGCCAGCCCCAGATTTCAAAGGAGAAGCAGCGGTTGATGGTGCCATCAAGGAGTTAAACTTGACTGACTATAGAGGGAAATATCTTATCTTGCTTTTTTACCCTCAAGACTTGTAAGTGCATGTGTGGCTTTGCTTTCCTTCAATAATTTCTTTGTGTGCACAATAATTTTTGTTTTATAATTGTTAAGTCAATTTTACATAGTTTTATGTATTCACTGCAGCATGCACTTGGCTTATATTGAGCTTTGATTGACAAAACATGCTTGAACCTGTTTGGTATTTTTAAAAGAATAGTTGTCCAAAAGATATGATACAAAAACACTGAAAGCTTATATTTGATTGTAATTCTTTTTATTTTTGTTACCTTTCCTTATTTCAGCACATTTGTCTGCCCAACTGAACTGATTGCATTTAGTGACAGGATTGCAGAGTTTCATGCCATAAACACAGAAGTGATTGGGGTATCAACAGATTCAGTATTTAGTCATTTGGCATGGATCAACACACCTAAAAAGGTAAGTCATTTTTGAATATGTTAAAAATAATGTTTCAGATTCTAGGAGAATTCTATCTAAAATTTACTTACAAATACAGCTTCAAGTTTATAACCATGCAGCTATGTAAGTATTAAAGTTACTGTGTAATTTTGCTTCCAGTTTAAGACACATTTTCTGTGACAACCCCCATCTTGATTTGGTTGTAATAGATTAACACATACTGAACTGAAAACGGAAGTACTTCTCTTACACAGGAAGGAGGACTAGGGGAGTGCAAATATCCACTCTTGTCTGACTTTAAGAAAACCATTGCCACGGACTATGGAGTGCTTCTGGAAGAGAAAGGTGTGGCATTGAGGTCAGTACTTTCTATAGGTATTTTATGAGTGATATTTAGGCACTCATTTTAGTAATTTTTTCTGAAACCGCTTCCACTGTTAAATGGTCAAATTAGGAAAAAAATTAAGATTGTGATATACAATACATTGAATCCCAAGGGGGGAAAAAGCAATTATATCAAAGTGACAATATGCTTATGGAATTGTATTAAATATAAAAAATAAATTGTTAAAAATTGGCGTTGTTATTGCATTTATTTATATATATCTTTAAGGTTGTGGATTGCAACATGAATCTTGCTTAATTAATATTATATTATAATTTTTTTTAAAATTCAGGGGTCTTTTCTTAATAGATCCTAATGGCCTGGTGCGACATATGACAGTGAACGACTTGCCTGTGGGGAGGTCAGTGGATGAAGCATTGAGAACGGTGCAGGCTTTTCAGTTTGTAGAGGAACATGGCGAAGGTGAGAATTTAAATATAAGTATTACATATTAAGTGAGAAAACACGTATTTGAGTTAGGTAGTTGTAAGTTACATGTACCAGCTGTTTACTAGTTTGTTGTACTGAAATTGCATGTTGTAGAGGGCAACCTCCCTGACTTTTGCAAGAAGTTTATTATTAATACCAGTTGTTATGAAGTTTGTTGTATTGAAACCTGTGGTAATTATTGACATTTTACAGATAATTGTTTTGAATATCATTTCATTATAAGATACATAATTATTAAAGTAATGACAAATTTTTCATCTGAGATTACAAAATTTTTAAATTAAAAAATTTTTATTAAAAAATATAAATTGTGGTTTACCAAAGATGATTTGGATAGCAGCTATTATTAAACAAGAAAACTTCATCTTTCAGTGTGTCCTGCCAACTGGCAGCCAGACTCCCCCACCATCACGCCAACTCTAGAGGGTTCAAGGGAATATTTTACCCAAGTCAATTAAATCTTTGAACCGGTCAGAGAGGTGCTAATATGCATTTATAATTGATATAAAAACTGACTCATGAAAATTTAAGTTTACGCTTTACGATTTCTTGAAAGTCATGCATTGCTTACCCTGAGTGTCAGAGCAACGTAAAAGCTAGCTTGTTAAATATATACCTTGTGATGGAGTCGCTTTTACTAGCTCTGACGAACAGCGACAATCTGAGGGCGTTCTTCTTCAAAATTTTGCCTGGGGCGCTTCCATATTTGGAAGTCACCCGTCACAGCTGTGTCCGCCTGGATCCATATTTGGAAGTCATAAGTCTCGTGCGTCACAGGTTTGGCCGCCTGGAGCTGCCTTTCCCGCCTCGCGCTGAAGTTATCTCGTGCAGACGAGACAAGAAGCAAAGTGCCTGACGAAGTTTGAATTGAAAATATCTTGCAGTCGAAGGTCAGTGCCACAATAGTGATTTTGGTGTAGCCATTGCGCAGCCCTTATAGTGGTATCGGGCATACAGTGTAGCTGTCAAATTTGGCACACGGCAGGCACGTGTATTGCGCACGTGTACATCTCAGGACTAAATGTTCTTTGATAAACAAAAATACAAAAACATTGGATATATCTTTTCTGTTCGAAGAATATTATTTTTTTCACTTTACATCTTAAATACAGCAAATAAAACTAAATAAAGCAGAATTAAATCTGTTTTACGTTTCATTTTAATCTGATGACATTCAACTGCAGATTCACTGCGGAGCAGTTCTTTTTGATTGATGGAAGTGTAACTTGGCCGCTGGTCACTAGAGCCGGTATTGTTGATATGGGTTATATATGAAATCAAGATCGAGCTGGCAATACCGGAATCTAGAACCTAGGGTAGCATTGCTTAGCTTTTCAACTTGGTGCCCACTGGTTGCTTATTTTTACAAGCATAATGCATTATTTGTTACATCAGGGAATCTTTTTTTCTCGATTTTGTCATTTTGCCCACTTTGTTTTAAGCAGATTTTTTAACATAGGTGTAAATGTAATACCTATATATCCATTTTACTCTGTATGAAGGTTTAGAGGTTTTTTATAGGTTTTTTTATAGGTTTTTTTTCTGTAAAAATGCACAGATTTGTTGCCAATATAAGTTACAAATATATGAATTTTAATGGTATATAACTTACATGGTTTTGTTGGAGGGACATGCATGGTTACATGCTTACTTATTTTTACAGATGTGATGTTTTGTGTTCATGTTATATAATACTAAAAATAATTGCCACTGCTTTTCTTTTATAGATAAGTGAACCAACTTGCTTTTATGGAAGTGTGTGTCTGACCGAGCCATCATTAAGTCAGGAATTTGAAATTTTGACGCACAGATATTGACATTTTACGTTAGGATGAGAAGCATACTTGTGAAAATGGCACAAATATGTACAAAATTGAAGAAATAAACCTTTTTACTGTATACCAAAAGAAAGAAAAAATATAGTAACAATAATGCAAAACAAAATGCCAAGATGTTGATTAAAATTTCATTTTATTATTTTTTCTCTTATTCCATTTTTGGTTTTATTATCTTCTAGTATAGAAATAATGTACAAAACCACATGGAGCTTTGACACTACACCATTATAATAAGCAGGTGCTATGACACCAAAATATTTCATGATGTAAAAATATCTTACAAAAGATAAAGAACATAGGATTCACTCTTGCAAAGAAGCAACCTTGGTCCCTTTTAAATATACTGATGCACAACCTTTTATATAAATTCCATTATATCTAACATCTACCACATTTATATATATATTCCTTTAGCAATATCAACAGACTTAAAAATATAGCTTTGAAAGCTATTGTGTACAACAAAAATGAAAATAAATTGTATAGCCTACCAGTATTGTTAATACTTGTTTAAAGTCCAAATCACCAAAAAAAAAAAAAAAAAAAAAAAAAAAAAAAATTAGTATTATGCTTGCTTAATTGTATTTTAATTATATCTTAGTAAATATCTAAATTGTAAAATTCCTTTTTTTCTTGCGGTCTTTTAACTTCGCATAATAACACATCGTAGCATTCATAAAAAAAATCACCTTGCTCACAATTCTTGCATCATTAAACAAAAGCAACACAAGCAAGCATGACCTTCGAAATGCAAACAAAAAATAACAAATGACTACAACTATTCCTTTCTCTCTTAACACTGACTACCACAAACATTACTCGAGCCTATACATACTACAAGCACAGGTATGAGGCATTTATGTTCATGGACGGAAAGAAAATTATAACAGAAATGTAAAGAGGGGCGTGGTTTACAATCACAGAATACATTGCAAAAACATGGGACTCAATCCTTAGCAATATTCGTAAGGAACAGCTGAAACTTTAAATTAATTTTTGCACTTGTACCAATTGGTGGAAGCAATATGAAAATGGTTGGTAAAAATCACAAATGATGAGGCAGGTTCATTGGCGTTTAAATTCCCCACTAAAAGAGGACCTGATAATACAGAAATAAAAACCCCTCTTATATAATATCAACCATTTAGCATCATGCAGACATCTTTTGCAAGTTAAGGTAATGGCTTACCACCTATTATGTTTTGACTTATGGCCCTGGCATGCATAATACTCGGCAGTAATAAACCATACCCTGTATACTGTATATATATCATCTATTTACATTAGCGTAGCACGTCCTGGTCCATTTGAATAAATCACTTGCATAATAAACTTGACATATGATAATGCCCTAGCTTGATTTGACTGCATAATTTGTGTGACAAACTACAGAGCAAATAGCAGCTAGGGGACCCAGGCAAATAAGTTCCTCTACATTTCTTATTGATCTTTACCAAGGTGTATCCCAATTAAAGCTGAGAGCAAGTATTGATATGCTGTTTACACATAGTATGAAGATGTTTTCCCTTATGTTTAATACAAAGACATCAATCACAAACCATCCAACACTCTTATTGGCATTTGGAACGAAACGATTTTAAAATGTACTAGTGAAAAGTCGAAGGTGTTGGATGGTTAACATGAACTCAAGCCAACCCTGGTGTTACCTGGAGTATTTACAGAGGAAAAAAAATTGCTTTGTATCAAATCTTATCAAAAAGGCTAGGCTGTTTTAGGAATAGACGGCAGGGCAACTAGATGGTGACATTATTAGTACAGCAGACCTTGCACATACAGCCAACTCACATAAACCAGACACTCGCCTGTAACATGCCAATTCTGGAAGTCCTGGTTCAGTCTAATAACAAAGAATGGTACTGTGTATAAAGGACAAAACAAGCCTTTCCCAATAGTAATCATCTGATATCTTAAAGTCTTGTGACTTTGCATGAAATCAACCGAGACTTAAGCTCCACTCAGAACAGATGTTCCGTTAGTCCGTGGATCATCTGTTGTGAATGTGTCCTAAGAGATTTAGGAGATACTGAAGTCAGAAACTATGGCACACATGTAAGTGTTGTGTTGCATTAAACAAAATTTAAAGAATTTATTCACATATTTTTTTTTATGGTGGCTTTCTCTCTAGTTCTATAAAATAACCATCTTCTAGCAACAGGATGTACTCACTATGTTTATTACTTTGGGATAGTTTTCTAAAGCGACATATCTGGCACAGAGTATCACCCTTACTGCTAAAAGATAAGCCCAACCTCAAATTCTAACACGTTTCCTAGTCTCATATGCAGTCACCTAGTACAGAGGTCTACAATACTACTCTATTACCATAAGCACATGAACTGCTAAACAGGAGTAAGAGCACTTCTATTTTTTCCTTTCCCATGTGCCTCCCTGGAGCTGTCTGACAGTCTGACAATACAGCCGTTCACAATCTTACCTACTTAAAAATGTCAAACTGATGTAAAGACTACATACATTGCGCTAGAAGATCAAATCAGTCCCTGAAAAAAATGACAGCATATCAGTAATACTTCAGAACCTCTGCTGTTGCATTGTTCCAGGGTTTAAAAAAATCTCAGTGGGAGACATGAAGCTGTTTTGGTTCATCCCTTCATATCACTAAAACTGCTTCGCCCAGCTGTAAACATTTTACAAACTAAAAAGAAACAAGGAATCCTTATTCCTGAAAGATCCTTCAAAAGCTCCTTAAACTCTAAGGCTGTATTCCCAGAGCTTTTAGATCGATCTATCCCCGCGGGGAGTCTCACTAGATTACTGTCAGATAATCCGGCTTAAATGTCTGTCCCGCCTACTACAAGCTGTAAGAGGGTAATTAACTTTCGTGTCCGCTCGGCTGACAGCTATTTAGCGTGAACCCCCAGGGAGTTAGGTCGATCTAAAGTAGATCGATCTAATCTATGGAAATGGGGTCTAAGCTCTAAACCTCTTATTACTTGATGTCATATTTTTCTTCTTCCTTTGAATTCTTGTAAAAATTGATACTTATAACCTGCACCCTTTGAAGAACTTATATCCTTTTATAGTAACTCAGATGAGGTATATTTGAGGGATGGACAGATGAACAAAATCCCCCCTCAATAATTGAAGTACATTTTTATGATGGACGGATTGATGGACAGACAGGCAGACAGAGGACAATCTCTCTAACACAGTAGTAACACTTTTAACTTTTTACTAACACTGTAATGAAGGAAGACACACTACAACATAACAGTACTATGGGTATAAGGAAACACCCATTTCACTACATTTATCATTCATACATCTAATCCTTTTCATTTCTGTTATGGTTATTCAACACAAAATATGCTGCCTGATAGCTAATATGGTAAAGTTCAATATACATATACTGTATTTTAAATACATGTAAATACACTACATTTTGCTATATACATAAGCAAAATGTAGCTCGTGTTAAGTATTAACAATTTCTTTAAAAAGGGACATATAAAGTCCTGATCATTTTGTTATTGTGAAATGAATGAGATAAAGTATTATCAGAAGCATTTATGTATACAATTCTATGGCAACCCTGTTGCTAATTCCACTCCTCCTCCTTATAAAGGTCTCATCCATCTTTCTCATCTCAAAGCTTCCAATATTTCCTTGGCTGTATCAAGGCTGCAAGTCCGAGTCTCCCTCCTTTTTGACAAAGCCTGAAAGAAAAAAATAAATCAGGTAAGACATCATTTAAATTTTAACCATCAAAACAACTTTGCCCCGAAACATTTCCCCATTCCGAACTATAATAAGGACAGAATGATTTAAAAGGAGCTTATTCTTATATTTACTCTTATTTTATTTTTTGGCAGCCTAAGAAACATGATGACACTTGTAAGCCAAAGATTCCTATAACAATATATCTTGATTATCTTCAGCAACAGTCTACAATGATTGGCATGAAGGTGAATGTATGTGCAAGCTTTTCCCATTATGTCAACATTACTCATTCAGCTTATCTTTGCCACAGTCCCTGATCTGGGACAGAGAAATATAAAAGAACTCTTCCTAAGCATCCTGGTGATAAAAATGAAAAATGTTTCATCATGGATACATTATTAACAAGAAATATTTTGCATCGTAACTTAAATAATTTTAGCAGAAGTTGAGCTGGGATCTGACTGACTGATATTGGACTGATTTTCCATTTGAAATTACAATAAAACCCAATACATGGGCAATAATAAGAGCATGGGCATTTAAGCCCCATGCTTAACACTTCTGAGTCCTCAAAGTTGAACAGAGAGTAAACAGCTACATTGATCTCTGAAGCTAAAAGTTTAATGGCACAGGTAAAGTATTATGCATATTTCATGAAAGCACTTTGAAGGCACACCGATGTAACAATCAATTATTGTGTGGGCATTACTTATGCCAGGGAATATTGTCATGATTCTGTCACATGTAAAGAACCCAAACTCCAAGGGCCTAAATCCTTTGGATACAGAATTAGACAAGGATTTAAAGTTATTTGCTAAGTCATGATGGGCACTGCCTTTGTCCAAATATTGACTTTCTTTTATTATTAATTTCATCTCTTTCTCCAGCTCCATCTCTCCCTGTCTTTGAGTAGATCACTGTCTGCCCCATTAATGTTCAACTAACTTACTAACTCGCTCCCTCCCCCGCAGAAAACAGATTCTATTATTGGACCGTTTTAGACTATTTACATAATGGTATGCTTTAATCTGTTTTTTTTCTTCTCAAGGGCAATACACCTAACAAGGCCAATTTAAGTAGGTCTTTTCTTTTCATCGATATTTTCATGCAAAACAAACTCTGTGGAAGCAGGTTATGACAAGGTTTGCCCACTGCCAGTGATTGCTTTCTGTTTACACTGGGTTAGGCAAGCACTGAGACTCAACAAGAACAAAAAAATAATGTTTGCCAATTCATGTATGCCTGTATGAAGCACTAGCTTGTTTTCCAAAACAGGTGAAAATTTCAAAGAGAACGTATAGTAGGGTGACTGGCTTCTACAGTCCAACAGACCAAGAAACTATAAGTATCTGGTAAACCTCTATTATTGGGTTTCATGCTATACCCTAACCTGAAACAGAACACATACCTTACAGTAAACAGCCTATATCATAAAAATAGGGAAAATAAAGATATCAAAAAGGTACTGACTAAAACTTTAAATAACTGTCACATATGACTTGCAAAAAAATAAAATAAAAAATAAAAATACAACACGCCACACTGCGTCCCTACCACAAGACAAACACACGGGTCCATCTTTGTTGAACTTGAGATTTGGTCGAGTTGAGCAAACAGGGCTACAAGGTAAAGCGTCCATATCCCAGCATGTTGCTATTTGCAAACTGTATTACAATATTTTTCATTGGCCCCAATATCAACCTTATTCTTCCATCATGTTGAGTGTAGGCCAAAATAATTAACCTATCTGTTGAATGAAATGAGTCAGTTTGGTTAATAATAGCAAAAGAACTATGCACTGGTACTAGTACTTGCAATTATCCTTAATATAGATGTTAAGCCTTTTTTTCTTTTTTATTTATGGATACATATCAAGGAGGTTTAAAAATCTTGTTTTTCTTGAAAAAAAAAAAAAAAAAAGAAAACAATGCAGAAGACACACAGAAAAGTCCGAAACTCAATGACATCCATGAACACACTTTGGGGGCAGCAAGAATGACCATTTAATGGCTTAGTTGCCTGCATTGTAGTCTGGACTTAAAAGGCATATGACCAGTGACCATAAAAATTCTGACATTTTATCATCAGGCCTCAATACTGATGCCTGTCGGACAGAGCTACAGTGAGCATCACACATATATTATAAGTTAAAATAAGTACTGAGGACAGAAGTAAAAATTCAGTTTGAACAGGTGAAGTTGCAGGATGGGCTGTCTAACGGACAGGTCATATTTTATGAGTAATTGAAAACAAATTTTCTTATCCATAATGATCCATGTATGAAGTTTTAAAGCAAAAAAATGTGCTCGTGTGACAGAAAAAGTTTGTACATGCAATGTACACTTGATCTCTTCAAATAAATTTAACAAAGGGGAATAAACACAAAGTGTCCAATATATTGAACCGTCAAATATGGGTCCTGTGAGGTAATACTAATACATTCTTCATAAACATAATAGTTTACAAAGTTCACTGACCGATATGAATGGGAAAAATATTGGTTTAGTTGGAAAGGCTGGATTCAAAATCGGACAGGTGGTTATATAAGTTCATGTTGAGTCCTGAGCATATTTGTCAAAAATTCTATATTTACACATTTGAAGTATAATTCAACCTGATTTAGGCTTCATTCACATGCAATGTCTATTTTCTAAATTCTATTTTCTATTCGCGGTATATCTTGTGATCATGGTCTGTGCCCTGAATGTCCCGTGGCGTAATCACTGGCAGCGCGAGCCAGTTACTATAAGTTACTATAAGTAACTGGCTCGCGCTGCCAGTAATTACGCTGTGGGATATTCAGGGCACAGACCGTGATCATAAGATACCGCGAATAGAAAATAGATTTTTAGAAAATAGACTTTCCATGTGAACGAAGCCTTAAACTGCAATAAAGAAAGGGGTTTATTGCATTCAGTTCACAAGAAGCTTGTGTCTCTTTTTCTCTCCCATGAAAAAAAAATTAAAATCCTAAGACTCAAAAGACCCTATACCCACGTGAAAAAAAATTAAAATCCTAAGGCTCAAAAGACCCTATACCCACGCTATTCAATGGATCAATTTGAATGCCTGGGTTATGCTATCATGACCTGCACAACTACTAGCATGCTCAGTAGAGAATCCAGGACAATACAAAACTTCACAATGCTGAAGTAAATACAGTAAGCTAGTATTATGCGGGGTTATAACAGTTTGCTTCACTGGCGTTTGTCAAACTATGAGCTTTTCACACCAGCTTCTATTTAAAAACAAAAGTTTTATACTCAGGATCTGCTCTGCATGACTGCACTGCCAAAACAGAGATTAATAATAATCACAAGAACAACACTTCATTTTCATGTAACTGAACCCTTTTCAATTTTTCAACGCTTGGGTCACTTATCAAATTATGAATGCTAATTTTAAAATACAAAGCTGAGCATGTTTCCATCAATGATATGTTCCAGCTGGAGTTTTTTTATTTTAATGTTCTAATTGCATTATTTTAGGTCCGTCTTCAATACAGCTTAAACATCAGATTGATGGCATATTTTAACAAAATATGAAACACTGTTAGCTATGGCAAATAATCAGAAAGTTCTATTAAAGTCAGCTCCTGCTCAAAGATAAATTATACGAAGTTATCATTATTATGCACCTTCAAGTTATTCAGTACCCTTGGTTCTTAAGCCTTTACTAATAAGTAGCTCCCTACTGTGATCTCTATCAATCTGTCATGTACTGGTCAACCAGGGGTCATTTTGACACATTTCTATTGTAGTGGAATTAATCTATTGTGGTGGAATAACAACCCTGCACCAATTTCATGACAAATAGCAATTAATAACAGCATATTTCACGTTTTTCTAACCAAACCTATAGATATCTTTACATTTCTCAACAACCTGACATAGCATTAGTTCAGTCTACTTTAGGTTACAGGTGTGTTTTAGTCTACAGATCTATTGAAATGATGTTCAGTTGCAAAGTGCTTTGCTGATCAATAAATTGCTGCAGGTAAATTAAAATACCAGAGTCTGACATGGGTCCAATTATAGGAAACAAAAATCAATATGTTGTGCATGTTTTTTGTTTGCTGTTTATCTGAACTGAACTCACTTATTTTTCTAGCCTACTGCCATGTATAAATTTATTTATATAAACATTAATTTAAAACTGGTTTATTTAAATAAATTATAAGCTACTCACTGTTTGTCATCTTGGTGACATACCATCCAGCAAATCTTGCTGACTTTCAGATTTAGACCTCTTTTTCATTTTGACTTCTTCTTCTTCTGCGAGTGCCTTGAGGTTACGGATGTCATCTGAATTAGAAGACATCTGAAGTAGAGAGGATTCTGAATCACAACTGTTGTGACGGCGATTTTTCTTCTTTTTCGGCTCATCAGGAGACAAACTTGATTGTCTAGGTTTTGTTCTATTGGCTTTCACTTTGGCTGGCTTTTCTAAAGAGTTTGGTTTTGTGTGATATTCTTGGTCGGGTTCATGGTTTGCAGTTTCTTTGCTAACAATATTTCCATTTGGTTGAACCTGGTTTCCAGTAATGCTGTCAACAGGTGACCTTTGTAATGTCAGATCACTCTCTAAATTGTTTAGAATAGATGGCACTGAATTGTCTGATTTTGGTAAATGATCCAGGGGTTTCAGTCTGGGTGGTGGTCTTCTAGACATTGGAATGCCTGGATCGATATTATTTGTCTCTTTCACTGAAGACATTTCAACCTTTTCTTCATGGACGAGTATCTTTGTTTTTTTCTTTTTCTTGGGTCTGGGTTTTTTCACCTCTGCGGTTGACACCAAATTAGGAGAATCTGAAGCATTACTTATGTCAACAGTGACATCTTGTTTATGAGTTTCTTTTGCTCCATTTTTAGATACTTCTCTGTCTTTAGGAAGTCTGGTTTCTGGACAATCAGTTGTTTCTAGTTTTGGTCTCCGTTTTTTGTTTGAACTTTCTCCTGTTCCACGGCCAGAGTCTAATTTGGCATCCTCCGCTTCATCAACTTTGCTAGCTCCCTCGGTTACTTCTCCCAAGTCCAGTTTCTCAACAGCTGCAGAACTCTGACTCTTTTTCCTCGTCTTTTGCCTCCCAGAGGCATTTAAAATTTGCTTCATCTCCATTTCTTTTACTTTGTTGTCAGCATTCTCAGTGACTTCCCGTGATGTGCTACTGGTACTATTGCTGGAGTTTGACTTTTGTCTGTCATGGCTCTTTTCAATGCTTTTCACAGAGACGGGATTAGACACAGAAAATGGATCAAGTTCACTTTGAGAGTCATAGTCACTTGTATCTTCATCATTGGGGATTTTGTTCACTGTGCCAGCTGAACCATCAACATCGCACTTTTGTGAACGAGATGTTTTAATGACCTCCTGAGCTAAGAGAAGATTGTCACCTAAAACGCTTCCTTGTGACTCCGACATTTCATCCTCTTCACCATTCACAAACATTCTTACATGCAACCCATTGGCAGTGGCAAAGAGAACAGGAGCATTGAAACTAGAGCTGGCATTCAGCATCATGGCCTCTTTCTCTAGGAGTTTCTTTTCACGCTCCTTTTCTTTTTCTTTTTCCTTTTCCACCCTAGGAGTAACATCCACCACAAGATTGCTTTTCCTGCATAGAATGAGGTCTTTAAACTTCTGCCAAATCTCCTTTCTCCAGAAGAATGTAGCAAATGGGAGACAAATTGGATAACTCATTCTCATCCATGTGAACACTAGCTCAATCTCATATGGATAAGAGACAGATAAAGTCGAAGTAGGTTTCAGTTCAACAGACTTTTGGAATTGCTCTATGTAGTTAATGCACAAGAATGGTCCTTCAAAAATCCCCCACAAAATAACTAAAATGCCAACGTAAATTGCACCTCGCACTTCTCTCCAGATGACTGGCTCATCCAAGGCTGAATCTGTATACTGATGATTCTGTAACATCATCTTATTTTGAAGTTTCTCTGCAACACATTTCTTGATGATCACAAAATACAGCATTACAATAGCGATGAATGGTATAATAAAACATACTACCGATGTTGTCGCTATGTATGCCAGTGTACTTTCTCCTATTGAGCACAAGTAACGACTTGGATATAATTTGGACGGAATGGTAGTCACATATAGTATCACATGGGCAAAAAGAATGGACTGCACCCATGAATATGTAATTATCATGTTGACGCGGAACCGAGACATCCGCTCGAAATATTTTGCCGAGTCTAATATTGCCACACACCTGTCAAATACCATCACAGTCAAAGAAAACAGTCTCTCTGTAGAGACTAACTGTATACCACATGCATTCAGTTTGCAAATGAAATGACCAAATTCCCACTCTTCTTTCACAGTGGTTCCCAGAATGAGAGGCATGTTGAGAACACAGTCTAATAAATTCACCACAGCCATGTTGATGATGAATATATTGAACATGGATCTCCTCAAACGTTTACTTTGAGACACTGTGGCAATTAATACACAGTTGCCAACAAAAGCCACCACTATGAACAAGCCTAAGAAGGCAGTCCTTGCGGCCAGCTGACTCGCATCGGTCTTGGTAAAATTGGCCATCCACGAAGTATCTTCGGGAGTCAGTGAGCCCGATGCTGCGTCGTCCGGGCCGAGATAGCCCCAGTCTATCCATCCGGGAGTACCAGTTGTAGTGGTGGTAATTGTTTCGGTCACAGCCTCCCCCACCGTACTAAGGCCAGTTGTGTTATCCGAGGACGTCATCATGAAAAAAACTGAGACCGCAAGTTGTATTTCATGTTTATGACCAAAACACCTGATCGAAATATCACTCCCAAAACCAGGCTATACTTCATCTTCATGCTTGTTTACTGTAGTGGCTCGGTGGTCTTAACAATGCCACCTGTCTTTCTTAGCTGCCAATGCGTAAGAGAGTCAAATGGACGGAATAAAATGTGTGAGTTTTCGCGGAAAAACTTCCGTCACCTCACAGCTTCCATTATGGCGGTGGTATGTGGTAACAACAAACATGGATCGAAGTCTGACCTCTGACAGAGATTGTGTTTTCTCTGTTATTTTTAATTTCACCACAGTGGAATAAATATATTCAGGCATTATGTATTTTTTTGCTATCCAGATGAATATGTCATTTAACTAATGTATCTCATTTTTTAAAGTTGAAAAATATCGTTCCGCAACATTATGCTTGGTTTTAGACAACATGTTTATTTTAAGATTGCGACAGGAGAGCTCGACAGGTGCGTCGAGCACAGCAATGATTGTGTTTCACATTTGCCCAGTAGCTATGTGTAGAATACAAAGGTGTGTCATTTGGCAGTTTAATGATTGTGTTTTTCGCCAGGATTCATCTTTCGTCTCTGCTGTTTCCTTCTTCTCTGTTAAAATTTTCTTGATATGTTTTTATCTAGTCTATACGACTTATATGTTTGTAAAAGAGAGAGAGAGAGAGAGAGAGAGAGAGCAAAGTAAAGATCTCGTTAAAAAAAGAAAGAAAGAAAAACGCTTATAGGCTTTATAACGCAAAGAATTTTTTAATTAAAACAGTGACTTCATGGAATTTTCCTTTGTGGAGTATTTAAAATCGTATTCATTGTCGATAAAAAGGACTACTCACGAATCATTACTCAACCTGTCCTTGCAATTAGATTTGATGATTTATCCCATTTCTTTACGATTTTGTTTAAAGTCGTGAATAACGTCACCTTTCCCATTAAAACATTTTAGAATTTTTATTTATTTATTTATATTATTATTATTATTATTATTATTATTATTATTATTATTATTATTATTATTATTTTATTTTATTTTATTTATTTCTTTTTATTTTTTGGAGGGGGTAGGGGCGGATCCAGGATTATTTGAAGAAGGTGTCCGCAGATGCGAAGTCCATGGTTTGGGGTTCGGGGCCCGCTGCAGGGCCCAGTTGGAGGAGTACATGAGACTGGGTCGTGCGTAACGGCAACAAATAAAATAAATAAAAGCAAACCGCAGCCTTCAGTATTTATTTCTTTTTATAAAAAACATTTTAAAAAACCGCAACACCCTCGGTAGCTCCATGCGCCAGAAGTCTCACACTGCACCACACCTGTCCTGGTAAAAAAAATGCAATAACATCATTTTTTTTTTTTTTTTTTTTTTTTTTGTCAATGCATATTGGATTTTCTAACTTATATCTCAATGCCTATTTGGTTTTCTAAGTTTTATTCCTACTCCTAGCTCACTCCTAGGCTATTCCTAGGCTGATCTACACCTTAGCCTGATCTGACCTACACCTAGCCTGGCCTACACGTAACCTACTCTAGGCGTCTTCGTGTCTGTCGGCGTTGAAGAAGGCTTCGTAACCATATAGGTGCGCTACCCATTGCGCCACCGACGAGGACACAATGACAAGTGCATTTCTTGGCGTATTTACCTGTACTCTTTACCTTGTAATTAAAATATTTAAAACACACTTTACTAAAAGTATACATTAGGTCGAAAGTAGGTATTGAACCCGACACTTCCGATTTGGGAACCAGACGTCCTTACCACTGTGTCATTGCCGATGTTATGATAACTCGTGTTAAGAATGTTATGTTGGCCAGTACTCAATCTCCCCTATAGAAATTTCTAATTCTCCTGAATGTGGGTCGCTTTTTAGATGTTAGAGATGCAGAGTGGTTATATTGTTGTTGTTGTTTTTTTTTTTTTTTTTTTTGCCTAAACTGACTCTTTAAAACAATTTGCATAAATGTTTTGGACGATCTATAAATGCTTTCTAAATATATTAATAAATGCCTTTTAAATGACTTCACATGTTAATATTTCGTAGATTCTGCCTGTTTTCAGCATCAATTTCGTTTTATGAAAACATTTACTAAAAATAAAAATGGATGAGCTTGTGGTTAGAGTGTCCACCGAAGGACGTGGGTTCAAACCCGTCCGGAGACATACCAGTCTTCTATAAATGGTACCTGCTGTCTCCCCGCTTGGTACTCAGCACTAAGGGGTTGAAGCAGGGGTCTGGTCTGGCAGTGGAGAATACGTTTTTTAGGTTATACGGCACTTCCGGCCTTCCTTGTTTAGCAAGTTTGAATCAAGAAGATTTGCATATAAGAGAAAAATGAGTTTATTTTTCAATTTTGGATCATTTGCAAATTTTGAAATAAATATTAAAAATAAATTTGTTCATTTACCTTTAATTTGATGTGTTATTTTTCATATCAGAGTGAAATTTTACTGCCTGGGGCCAGTTTTACATGCCCTCCCCTCTGCTGCATTTTAGTGCTTATTTTGGCTGACTGGCGGCAGCACCTTACGGGTCATGTCATGTCACTGCCAAGCTATGCCATTAATGTACCCTGATTTTTTAATATTGTTTAGGCCTTGACTAGAAGTATTTAAACCTGAAGTGTTGTGTTTGTTGATGCATGGGAAATATTTTTAAGAGAATAAAACGTTACAATGGAAGTGAATGGGATTTTTAATAGTGGTTTGTAACCTTTAGGTTATACGGCACTTCCGGCCTTCCTTGTTTAGCAAGTTTGAATCAAGAAGATTTGCATATAAGAGAAAAATGAGTTTATTTTTCAATTTTGGATCATTTGAAAATTTTGAAATAAATTTTAGAAATAAATTTGTTCATTTACCTTTAATTTGATGTGTTATTTTTCATATCAGAGTGAAATTTTAATGCCTGGGGTCAGTTTTACATGCCCTCCCCTCTGCTGCATTTTAGTGCTTATTTTGGCTGACTGGCGGCAGCACCTTACGGGTCATGTCATGTCACTGGCAAGATAAGCCATTAATGTACCCTGATTTTTTAATATTGTTTAGNCCCCCCCCCCCCCCCCCCCCCTTCCCTCTACCAGTAAATCCGCCACTGAGATTAGTAGCTTTGCACGAAATGTAGACTGCCAAAATATAACTTTTGGAAATTTCTTAATGCGTACAGTATATACATGCATAAGTTCTGGGATCGATGAGGAGAAATACGAAACTATGTCTTAAAAAGTAATTTCTCCTTTACCTGCAGGTAAACAAACACACCTGAGCAGGCGACCTAGTTGTATAAACTGTGCTCCGATGGAAACAGGAACGGCGGTGCTATACTTGGTGCTTACCTGCATCAGTTCACTTAAGATTTTTTTAAATTTAAAGGCAGGTGAGAAACATCTACTGTATACAGGCTTCGGCTATAGAATGAACTGATGTACTGGCGGTTTAAACAAGGAAATATCTGAATGATCAGCATCATATCAGCCGCCAGTATGAACATGCAACTGTATCAAGGAACAACTCCTTCAATGTTAACATACATAGGCTCACTGTTCCAATGATTTGATACTTGTGTATCCTGAACAACGATAACCACAACTTAATTATTGTCATAATCGGAACTATCTACAAAAAAGAAGACGTCATCTGGCAATCACTGGCAATTACATGACGTATGTCAGCTGCCTTGCTGTTTAAACACGTACGCATACAGCCCTACATGAACTGTAATTTTATGAGTATCATCAATAATATGTTTTTTTATTATGCATGCTGCCGGCTAATTCAACTGATTGCAATTGACCCGAACTTCATTTGCAAACTAGACACAGTAGGGGCATTATGCTGCTGATTACATACTGACAAACACAGTACCTATCCCCCATTTACTTCCAGGCTACATATGATTATTACGATCCTCTCTGTATGTGTTTGGATGACACGGTTCAAATGTGGATTACCTCTGAACAAATTAGGCCATGCGATTACTGGTTTAATCAAGTAGCAACGTATAATGGAAGCCCCGGAACAGTTGCCTGGCCAACACAACGTGAAGACAAAACGAAGAAGTTTTAGCAACATTGCAATTTTCTTCTATAACAATGTTGTTTACGTGGTCTTCCTTTCTTGTGCCAAGGTTGTAGTAGGGATAGTCCTCGTCGCCCGTGTGAATCGACCTGCTGGGATCGTTCTCATCGCCGTGGGTGGAAGTTTCATGCTTGTGTTAGCTTCGGTGATACTTTTTTTAAAATTGAGGAAAAAACGTAAAATAAAAAGATCTCAGAGTCGGCCTGAAGAGAGACACAAGGCTCAAATTGACGATCTTAGAAGCGAAAGACCAAATCAAAATATTTTTTACAAACCGACAGTCTCGAAGGAAACTGAAGTTTGAACTGTTTAATCTGTACATAGCGACAAACACATTAAAGCATTCTTTAAGAAATGTTTTATTCTGCTAATTGCGTGCTTAATCAGTATCACCACAATATACAGCAACTGTTGTATAAAAGTAGATAAAATGTTATAAATAAAACCTTTTTTCCAGTTTTTTTTGGTAAGAACCTTACCCACAATAGCTTCAATGCATAGTTCCACCGCATCATAGAAATCTATCAATTGTTTAATCATCAAGTTTCAACAACATTTCTTCGCAATTCGCCACAGGAACAAAATCTGATTTTTGCTCCTGATATTTTGTTTCACAAAAGGCATCAAAACCTTCAACGTGGGGTTTTTACGTCCTTTTTTTAGATATGATAAACAGCATTAGTTATGTGGAATGTTTCTGCACTTCGTTGAGATCTAACCACTCTTTGAATTCATGATCGGGGCTCTGAAGTACCGTGGCCCAGTAGGACATTTCCAAATCTTCGGTGGAGCCGTATCCTAAACAGATTTGCCCAAGCGGTATATCACTCCTCAGGTTTTGGTGGTCGTACACGGTAAGCGTTACTGTAGTGTAGTTCAGATCCTCGAACTTCGGGGATATGTGAAACACAAACGAGGCATTATACACAGGACAGCGAGAGCCTTTCCGTGCCCGCGTCTGTTCTTTCATTGGTGGCCGGCCTGGCTGAGTTACTTCCACTTTAACATAGGGATCTGAGGAAAAGGAAAAAAATCAATCTTATAAAATGCGCGAGAGACGAAGCAGTGAAATATAGTTATTTGAATGGCCTATGTCAATAGAAAGTACAAACCAGAATCTAAATGAATTCTGCCAAAAAAAGTTCAGTTATAATGACAAAGAGAAAAGAAAAAGAGGTAATTAATGGAGCAATGAGTTTTTTTTCTTTCGAAATGATAAATCAAAAGACAGTTTGTTAATGAACGGTTCATTTGATTTCGTTTTCTGAACCATCAACCTGACAACACATTGAAAGACGCGTGAAAGCCATTTGCCATCCCCTACCTCCCAAAGCGAGGACTTAAGACATTGCTTTTCTCACCTGGATATCCGGATATCGACTGCTTTGGCAGATCTCTCGCTTGTTTTACCGTTAATGTTAGGCGCTCAGTTTTCGGCTCAAAACAAGTGGCAATCTGCAAAATTCCAAGACCCTGCAATAAACAGATAAATTTACAGTAAGTGTATTTTTTCAGGATATATAAGCGGGGTTGGGGGGGGGGGGTGATTAAATGCTGTAAGTATAGATTTCCTCCCATATATTAACAAAAAACTTTTTTTCTGAGCAACAACTCTTTATATTAGAATAAAACGATGAACTAGTCCAGTTGACCATATAGTGCTATTGATGTAGACTTTGAAGGAGACATAGAGTGTGAATATGTTGAGCATGCATGTACGCCTTCTATCATACGTCATTAACTCCTTGTAGATTCATCTTCTTTTGATGAGCCTTCACACATCTGAGACACATACGATGAATCTTTTCCTTTTTTCATTGAAATTGCTTATACCACTTATCCGGGTAACGCCCTGATCGAAAAGGAAATTCCCGTATTTGTCATTGGCAAATACTTCGGGCACTGTTGAATGCGGTGTATACGCAATCAATCATCCATGCTTTCAATTCCTGGTTACTATTTCATTTCAATTGAGGCCAAAAGTTGATCTCCGTATTTTTTTCTTTTAGCAAGGACAAAAATGGAGTTGTCTACTAATAATACTAATAGTTATAATACTGATTTATTCTTAGTCAAAGCAGCTATTATATGCACAGCATTTAGATTTGGACTTAATTTTGAGTAATTCTAACGCATGTATTTGGGAGCCCTGTCTTCCCGTCTCCATCCTGGGTTCATATTGTATTTATGGCGATGGCAATTTTGTATTAAAAAGGATTATTAAAGACCCCCAGTAAAGAAATTCAGGGTTTCGCATATTTGCATGTGAGAGCCCTGTTTAATTATCTTCCCGTCTACACCCTGGGTTCATGTTGTGTTGATGTCGATGGCAATTTTGTATTAAGGATTATTAAATACCGCCAGTAAAAAAAATCAGGGTTTCTCCTAATTGCCTTCTAAGCTTTGCACGCACACAAAAACGTGAGGTTTTAAGTATTATTATTTTTTTTACTGTAACAGCATCGTCTAAAAGCAATATTAGTTGTAGTAAGATGAAAGAAAAATCTTGTAAAACTGAATAAAGATCCAAGGCGGGTTTTTCTCCTGCATTCTATCCAATCTATCATTTTATTGAACGTTGAAGTCCACTTGATATTTGTCGACTTGCAACATCTGAGATAAACCCTTATAAACCTTCTTAAATGCTTCTGTATGAAACTTTTGGACAGAAACAGACTATTTTCAATAATGGAAGAAAACCATTTGGTGCGGTGGCAAAAATAAATGACTGCAAATCAGGAAAACCGTTTTTAAAAATTCAGAGGCTAATTATTTGGTGATAAATTCCTTCCCACCTTGAATAATTATGTCTCAACTACTTCAGTTTATTTAATATTGCGTGGTATCAATGCTGTGCAGCTTACTTAGAAAACTGATATTGTACAGAGTGGTTCCCCTTTTTTACTTTTTTTTTACCAAACATTGAACACAATGATTAAACATACCAAATAATTCCCCTTACTTTCACGGATATATTGATATTATAAAAGATGATCGTTTCAATACGGCTAAGAATTGACAAACTTCATATTGACCTCTAGGGTATCGACATTAAAATTACTCGGGGATAGATGGTGTCAAGTTGACGTGCCGGGGGACAAGATAAATGGAAAACTTTTGAAAAATCACAACAAATGGTTTATTCTAATCCGTTATTTGGGGGATTTGTAATTGCATTGGAACAAAAAGATGGAACAAAACCGGCAATAATCTATTCCCAAGAGTAATTATGCAGGGTTTCGTGTCGTTATGTATGCCGCCAAATTAAATCTTTCTAGGGGAAAATCTGTTGATCACGTCTTAGTTAAACATCAGCCAAAGTAAATTATATCAAATGTCTCTTAATCTTTAGGATTGTTCATCTATCGTATTTCACTATCCTGAAATTTAAATGTTTGTGATTTACTCTTTGACGGATTACTTTTCAAGGTTCTATTTAATTTTCAATCTGTGGAGTTTACTTTGGTGAGTCTGCGAAGTAAATACTTCAAGAGGACAATCAATACAAACCTCCACATCCTGTTTTGCTTGCAAGTCCATCCACATGCGGGTTTCCTCTTGCAAATTCACAGTGCTGAGGTCCAACTCCAAGTCCCCGATATATTCCAAGCGTCTTAAGTTATGAGTTTTGTTATAAAATTTTATCTTTAGAGATTTTTCTTGCAATTCTTCCAAGCTCAGGTCTTTGAAATAAAATACTTCGTTGTATTCGGGATCTCTCGTGCGCTTCACAACTTTTGACGTTTGTTTCTGAAGTTTGCCGGGACACAGGTACAGTTTTGCAAACGTGTTCACGTTATTTGGATGTTTAGATTGTCCGCCAATGTTTTCACCTTTTACAAGCACAACTTTGAGCTGTTTGGTATCGCTTAGATATTGGACAGAAATCTTTGCTTCACCAAATTCTGCTATGAGTCTTTGTAACCTTTCGGAGTCGCAGGGAGAGGATAAAGAATACTCTAGACTCTGCCCAGGTAATGAAGACCTCCTAAACAAGAGCCTGTTTGGAATTCTTGAGTTTTTGTCTTTCTCTTTGCCTGATGTTGAAATGCATTTGCCCGTGTTTTCCGGTAACACGAGGGAAGAGCGCCTACGTTGGTAAAGCCCACTCCTTTTCTGTCTTTGCTGAATAGGTGAAAATTCTGGACTTCTTCGCGGAGAAATAGTTGGCGGTGGGGACCGTTTAAGAGAAATGTCTGAATCACTACCGTTCCCTGGTTTCAACGCCCCCAGCGGCAAAGCATGGTGCCTCCGAATTCTGAGACTACCGGTGTGATTCCTCGACAGATTTTCGTCAGAGTGTCTGTATTCGAAAAGCGGTGATGTGTCCGACTTGTGGAATGTGTTCTCTTCAGTTTTTTTATCCGGTTTAATATTTACACGATGACGTAAGGCTCGCGTTGTAAAAGGGGACACAGAGGGGCTCGAGTCAGAATCGTGAAAAAGCGACTCCTTTCGACGCGTGTGCGGTGTTTCCAGCAACGTGGTAAAACCGTAAGACGTTTTCGTTCTAAAATGGGGTAAAGTCATTGCAGACACGGAAAAGGGGTCCGCGTTGGTATCGTCGCTTCGTAGCTCTTCTGCACTGGGTAATCCCCCGCTGGACAAGCAAGGTTCTCGGACTCCAATCGGGGACACTGGGGCTGAATGGGTTTGTCTCACGCACAGGTTGTAGGGGCTGACCCGTCCAGTGGGAGATCGCGCTGGACTGGTGTTGATGGAGCACGGAAAACTGTCCACTCCAGAGCTAGTAGAGCTGGCACTATCTTGGCTTCGAGTGTCCATGCCCGGAATGGTAAACTCGGGGATGCTGTTTGGAGTTAACACGTTGCTGTGCATTTGTTGGAGCGGGTTGTCGTTCCCTACGTAAAGCTTCGGTATATTCAGGGAGTGCTTCGTCTTGTGCATCCACCATCCTTTTACAGAATTCATGATTCACGACTGGCAGTTCACATTAATTGTCTATCGGTCTGTTGGCGAATCTGAAATATATACGCACACACATACATAATGGTATATATAAAAACATGGTAATCAACACGCTGCTTTTGTTATTGCTAATAGAGGAAACATCCGTCTAAAGAAAAATTTAGAAGGAATTATCGACGTGACAGGATGTTGTGCTGGACTTGCTATGATGATCGGCTTATGTTATTAACCTTCCGATTTAAGACGAGAAACCTATGAGATGTTATTTATTTACGATATTTATTTGTAGTTGAAAAAGATTATATTTTAATGTAAATTTGTCTGACAATAAATATACTGGCTGATCAGAATGGAGTCGAGGGTATGTGAGGGTTTGTGTTGACATCATGTATAAGAAATTATAGCATTTAATGATAACGTTTGTTGATTTATATCTTTAATATCACACAGTGGTAATAAATCACAACTTATTTTACAAACAAATTCGCCCCATAAAAAACAAGATTTTAAAAACACCGATTTTGAAGTCTTCGCTTCCTCGTCTTCGGCATTTAGGTCTATTTAAAAGGTTGGGGGGCTAACACCCCCCCCTCCCCGTCTCTGACGCCTATCAATATTATATATATATATATATATATATATATATATGCAAACTGCTCTTATGATTTCCTCTTTCCAGTCGTTACATATTACCGTCAGTGTAATATAATACAACTAAATTGATCCATTAACAACAAGTTCTCGATGTAATTCCACGTCTTCGTGGTAGCGCCTAAGTGCTTTAAAAGCAGTGTCTAATGTACCGAGACATAGGCACCTAATTGCATTCCAAGAATGAAACATCACATAAAAAAAGTAGCAGCAAAATGATTGCATCTTACAAGTGTGAACCAGCTTAAATTAACACTTCACGATAGGTCTACATTGCCTTATTGTATCCTCTACACAATATACATGGTGAGCTTTATACGTTTAAGATATGTATTGGTGTATTCGTATCACATTAATGGTACTTACAGGATTTTTCATTTGGTAAATTCATCCCACTGGTACATTAAACAAAAAACCTTTTACAAGATTTCCCATTCTACAAAACTTGATCTTAACATGCCCTGGATCCAGCCTTTTGTAATGAAGTTAAAACATTTTCACTAACTCTCTTGCAGCTGTTCCATTTCTCAATTCGTTCCAAGATCTACGGTCCTCATAAAAGCAAAACATTGAAACAGACTCTATTACGTTCTTACATATTAGATTTTCACAGCCGACAAGTCCTCTGGAGAACCCACTAATTCGATGCTTTGTAATTTTCCATACAACACGTCACAAAAACCCCAAAGAAATAGAACGCAAATAACATACCCGTTCACCGACTAACTTTGGTGATAAAGAAATGTCTCATTATCATTGAGCAGTAACACATCATTGAGATAGACCGGTCACAGATTTATACTGAGTTTAGCAGTGACGACAAACTGAACGTTATTGCACAGACAAAGACGAAGCCAATTTTGTTCCATCAACTGCCTTGATCAGGTATAGCGGAAATGCCTTTTTCTCGTTATCCGTGTGCCAGATGCGAAAAGTGGTATATTAGCATTAATCGGGGCCAACGGAATAGCCTACAATGAGGTTTAGATTGGTGATTAAATTAAGGCACGATACAGTACGAGCACAGTTTAATCAAAATGAAACCATCTAACACGAAAAGGAGCATACTGTGAGAAATATTATTTAAAAACGCAATTTATGGCATTTGACACTTGTTTTGGTTAGCTTTACAGAAATGAAAAACTGTACGTATCAAATTATTCCACTTGGTATTGATACACACTTACCTACGCTGTCAAGTGTTATAACTGTAACAAACGTTAACCACCCCGATTGTGTGAATTGGATCTGTTCCATTTGACATGTTATTCACTCTATTGCGTTTTTGTCATCTTGTGTGAAACCAACACGCAGTAGCTGTTTTTGTATATATGCATACTGCACTGGTCTACAGCAAACGAAGAAATCAATCTATGTACAACAAGAAACATATGCTGTATTTATTTCAACTGACACAAAGTATTAAATACTTATACTTCATACTGAACACTGCTCCAAATTAGACCATATGACGGATCCATTACGATCTGTCTCCTCTAGATAACGCATGCCACAAATCAAGCTGTTCTACACGGCGATTAAAACCCTTTCCCCAGAAAAACATTAACAGTTCATATCATTAGAAGGGGAATTAGGGATATTTCCCACTGGAACATATGAAAGTACGACGGCAGCAGTCTGTGTAACATCAAAGTAAGGTGAGAATTGTTGTTTGCTCCCAGGTGTGCTGTTAGACTTCTTTTAACATTACGAAAATGAAATATTGGCGATTCCTTCGGTGGAATTCTCTGGGTGGTGATACATAATTCGCCGACACCGACTGATCAACGAAACCTTTGTGGTTCGCCTGTAATAAGAAGTCAAGGGACACATTGTGTTTCTAAGACATAGAAAATATAAGTGCGACATAAAAATTGTTAGCACGAACATGCCTTAGTTCTCCTCTAAGAGACAAAGAGGGTAAATTATGGATGTTTAGTAAAGGTATTATAATACTTTCTCACATTTCTCGAACACATTGACCAAAAAACCTATCTTTGAAAGAATAAAAGGATATATGGGCCTAAACCATAATCTGATAAAAAAAATACTCCAGTGGGTAAGGCCGAAAGGACAACTTTGATCGGCTTTTGCTAAATTAAATTGATAGACATATATGAACATGTACATATTTGGCCTTCTCGTGAATGTAACTACTCCATTCGTTTCCGGATGTAATTGTATGAATGTTATCACTATATTTGGCAAAATATATTTAATGATCCCTAGAAACAAAGCTAATTTTTAAGAACAGTTTGCCAATAGTATGCCAATAGTCGAAGTTGCTTTATGACAGAATCACTTTTTATCTTTTATGTTGCACAAAATGAAACCATTTTGATTTGAAACCTACTTTATTGCATTGATATTCAAGTATCTATCTGCAAATATTTATAAATTTTGCAAAATATGTAAAGAAACAGATAAACAACAATAAATCATTGATTTTATTCATTTTTGCGAAGTACATGTATATGTTATCTATTGAAAATAGCGGTGATTTAAAAGGTCATTATCATAATTTATCTTATCATTCAATATTCCGTGACTTTTCAAATACTGGCCATGGAGTTTGCATTTAGTCTCTTGCATAAACCGAAACCACTGAATTTTCCTTAATACTAAGAAGGCTCTTTATTATTTATAGAATGTTCTAAACTAAATATAACGAAATCACGTCACATTGCCCTAGTCGAGGAGAGAAGATATAAATTCATATGCTCTCTAGCATAAAAATTAATGTGTATCCCTGATGAAGATGCACTGATAAAAAGAAAACTGAATACTTATTAGTACTTAGCGAAACAAAGGTGGGGACAAGTTTCAATGAAGTTAACTTTTCTGCAGTTTTAGATGGTCTGTCTACCAATAATTGAGAGATTGAGATTGAGTAATTGAGAGATACTGTATACTATATGTATACTATTATGCTGTTTGGAAACCAAATTAAAAAAAAGAACATGGCGTTATCAGTTTTGTCGCCAATAAAGCCAATGACACAACCGAAACTTTTGTGTTGTTGCGTTGTAAACTGGTACGATAATGTTTTGGGACGCAGAACACGTTGAATACAAATACACTTTTATATCTGTATCTGACTCGTCCATCTGCATTTTCTAGAGTCGCACACAAAAACGCGTACTGTATTTTTGAAATTATTTTCTTAGCTATCTGTAGGGCATTTATACTTTTTTTTATAAAACCAAACGAAAAAGCAGTTTCGTGAGATTCAGACTAGGTGGATAAACACGATGGACCAAATGTGACACATCTGTGGAATAGGCCATACACCTACAATATCAGCAATTACCATTGTTAATAGACAGATGTAGACGAATTAAAAGGTTACTTGAGTCATGTCAAATATGTTGGTGTGGGAGGGAGAAAACTATTTTTAAGCTTGTTCATCCGTTCCGTTAAATGAATACACCGGTAAATAACCTATAAGGAAACCGGGTATTCAATTACTTAACAAGGCAGTTCAGTTTTGAAGAAGGAGCTCCGGCATCGCATGCCTTGTGTAAAGATGCAGATATAGCTACTACGTCAATGGATATATGTCAAATAATGCCATGCATGATGTACGTCACCACTTCCTCTCAAGAAGTAGGCCATTGTAAATCTATTGTAAAAGCAAAAAACAATCAGAAAAGGGCGGGAGTTCTTTGAAACCTTCGTAATTTGCAACAACAATAACAACAACAATAAAAAATATTGTTAAATTAATTCTTCTGTGTGTTGATCAAGGTTGATAAACCTAAGTGTGGAATGGTAGGTTCATACCGATCCAAAATGCGTTCTCTCGGGAGAACACGAATTGTTGCACAGTGTAGGCTTTTCTTCAAGTTGGCGAAATTTCCCTGGTCGGCCAATCAAGAATCTATCAATAATATATCACACGTCACACGGACAATAAAATCTGAACAGCAATCTGGCACAAGAGCAAACGATTTGAAGATTTAGAAGACTGTCTACTAGACGCTGCATTCGATTAAGACATTTTTTTTCGGATAGTAAAATTTTGAATGCGTTTAATACGAATTGCACATCTATGTAGGGGCTACTTTGACAGCCACAGCCTCAGTCCCTAATGAAGGTGTCGTTGGTAGACATTCGAAATACTGGAATATGGGAGTGATAATAAATATGCCTTTGGCTATTGTTGGAAAAATCTATTATTAGAACCATGGCTACATAACACTGATGAAATTATTGATGCTGATGGTCTAGTAGGAATTGAAAGAGGGGATCATCCAAGTAATAATACACAGCAACAAAATTTCTACTTCAAACCATCCCTAAAGGGGATTGGTAATTGTTTCAACTTTGAAAGCGTGAGAGCAATTATATAATGCACTTTTAAACTGCTGGTCGATTAATCCGGCATCTAATATAACTCTCGTCCTCATATAAAAAACCAATCATTGTGGAGACGTGGATGCAGGTATCATTGTCCAACAAGTCGATTATTTTCAAATAACTTCGCAGTTTTCAAATATATGCGATTTAGAGCACAACTGGGGTAATTAAACAAAGCGGAATAACCTTGGCCGGATTTAATCATCAGTTTTCAGCAAATTTTATACATGTATGAATTCCATAACCATATTGAGCAGAGGCGAATATCAAATAGTGTCGGAACGAAGTTTTTTCATATTGATAGCCCTTATGGTAGTTCTACATCAGAGTTAGGAGCTTTACGGCTCTTTGAATATTATATCTCGTGACGATTATCCTGCGATGTTTATGAAATCCTATACTCAACAATGGAGTTCTGACGCTCGCATGAACGTTGCGGTGGCAACAAACAATTTGCAAACAGAAAAAATGCACTGAAAATATGTTATCACGATATCTTTCCACTTTTACTATACAATAGGACCAAATTAGCTTTTTTGTTTGAAAACACCGTGCGGTGACAAGACATGAAGAATGCGGTAATACAAGTATACATTTGGTTGACTCTATGATTGCTTGAAAGGTCAAAGATCTTAAAATTGTCCACTTACTTTAAACCGGACCCTCACGTCGTCATATTTCTTCTGTAGTACATTTAGATCTGACGTGGCAGCGAAGTGAAAACAAACATTATCAATAGGCTACTATCTTAAAAGACTAGAGTGCCAAGAGTTAAAATGGACACTGCCATATATTAATTATCATTCTATCTATTCCTATCTCCCTCCAATACCAATCATGAACAGTGACTTCCAGATTGACGAGAAGAAGGTTAACTTCAATACCCTTTTGTTATAACCGTATTGACGTCCTGCATCACCGATTGTGTTTCATAATATTTTAATAATAAACCAAAAAACATTTCGCAGGCTATATACTAACAGTCATCTGATTTGTATCAATATACCAGCTTAACGTGGTTAGTAATATTGTGAGGGCCAAGTATACAGATTGTAGCTGAACTAACAGGTTCTTTCCTCAATTTACTGTTCGTTAAACTTGAAAGAAACCAGTTTATTAGCATGTTCATGTTAATTTCAATTTGCCAAGAAGATATATGCCTCTCAGTCTTAACTATGGAGTTAACATTTGCATATAATCTAACAAAGACGAAGGCAGTCCAGCCAAAAAATTGTTCTTCAGTTCATCTGATATAGAGATAGGATCTGGGTGACTTCAAAATTACTTTAAGGTATTACAGAAAATGTATCCCTGCCGACAAAACAGACAAATCCACCTATAAAAGGTCAATGACAAATCACTACTGACATTTTTTTTTTTGCACTAACCTTTTCTTTAACATTCCCTATGATCATTCGTGTCCTTCTTTTTTCACGTTTACTGTGTGTCAACTCATCCGGCCTAGTATTATATTGGCTGCATTCTCCATTTTTTGCCTGATTCCACTCCAAGTATGACAAACGCTGATGTCACGGTTTATATGCCCATACGCTAGGGGCAATTACTTTAGGAAATGATGTAGATAGTTTATTAGCCGTGCAATTAAATATGATTCTGGTGGCTAACTAGAGCGTTGCTGTGTAAAGAGTCGTGGTGTCCGAATATATATATAAATATATATATAAATATATTGGTGTTTCTGGGGTTTGTTCATGAGGTCTGAGCAAATGTTTAAATTCGTTTTTTTTTTGTTCACCTGTATTGGTATTCATGGGAACTTCACATTATTCCCTAAACAGCGTTGACAAAATTCTTCCTAACCATTTCAGTACATTTCATAACCGAAGTTGAAATTTGCCTTTGAATCATGTAAGTGCAGCCTTGAAGTTTGTATCACGACAGGAAACATTTGAAATATTTGGCCTTGTTATGAAACCTATCAGCACGCAAATAGTTAATTAAAGTGTTTTAATTACAGTCCCGTTTGTTATGTACCTTGCCTGTGATTCGTGTTACATATCAGACAGGTAAGACTTGCGTTCTAGCCAGTCATTCCAGGTGAATTGCATTCATTATAATTATAACATTCTTCAATCCCCGATCACCTGATGACTTCATTAACCGCGTATTAACTGATCCAGTTGATCCAGCTGGTTTCAAGCTAACTATAGGTGTGCATGGAAATGTATTAACAAGAGCAGAGGCGTCCCTGGTGTAACTTGTATTACAAAAGCAATGACAGCCGTGGTAACAGTCTCGTCTTGTAACATGACAAATAATCTTTTTGACGATCGATACGGTTGAGGGGTATCGGCTACATTTTGTGCTATCTCCCTGCCTCGGTACCTTTCATCGCCCTCTTATTTGACATATATAAACACACCTAAAGTTGCCGTCTTATAACGTGTAACGAAATACATCCATTGTGGTAATGTAACAAACACATTCACTACGGTTGAGGATTTGGAAGGTGTTAAGTTAACCTGTAATGGTTTCCTTCACCATTGCCAATAACATAATAAAATGGAATACAATTAGTTGTTTGACAGGCCTTCATACGTATGTGACTAGTACCACACAACTAAAATACAAAAACTAAGGACAATTGCCTACAAAAAAATACTCCTCCCAAAACAACAATGCATCCTCGATATTTAAGAGGTATGTGGAAAGTAGGCAGCATCTTCTTGTCATTTTAATCAGTTTAAGGTAGAATGCATTTTTCAAACCAAGCGAAAAACGGTCCTAATGAAAACATATTCAACTGCAACGAACATGCATAACACTCACACACATTCTATTATATTTCTAACCTGCCCTTTTTTTTACTGCCCTCTCACGAAAGTACTGGTCCTCTGTACATTGGTCATCGTTCATTTCATTATTGCTACTGTACCTGCTGTTTTAATGCTTGCTAGTGGAGACAAACCCTGTAAGCTACTGATACGCCTCCGTGCTCATAGACGGCTTCTTGTGTTCAAT